CGAATTTTGTGAAGATATCGGTGTGGTGAAAAGCCTGTAGCTCCAACTAGTAAGCCATTGTTGAATAGAATGCCACAGAAGAGAGTTACAGTTTCAGACTTCGGTTCTGACTCCACAAGTTTACAAGGTATTTCTAGTCAGAGTGAAGGTAAAAAACATTTAAGGATTTGTGAAGAGGAACCAAAATTGTCTACTTCTGTTATTAAAGAGTTTGAAAATGATGAAATTGACGGTAAAGTGAATATTCGTGATAATGATCATGATAGTGCAGATTTGTCTTTGGTTGATCATGATGAGATGAGGGGAATGCCTACTACCGCTAAGTTGAACAAAGGTTCTGTACAACTTGAACGTGAAGTAGAATTAAATGCAGGTGCAGTTGCAGAAGGCATGCATACTTGTCAAACCGTCAATGTAATTGATCAGAGTGAAGCCCACCTATCATCAGATGCTAGTGCTAAACCAGAGCTGATAGTAAAAGACAGCAGTGGTGGTGGTCTTGCAGTTAGACAAATTTCTGAAAGCCGAGCAACAACAGCTTCTGATCCACCGTTAACTTCATCAACTGGTATCAATCAGTCGTCGTTGGTGTTGTCATCCACAATGAAACAGACGCCCATCAACTCAAGTGTCTTGTGCAATGACTATGATAGTATTGGTGCTCTGAAAAGACGAAAGATATTGCTCAGTTTAGTGAGGATAAGCCAAGTGTAAATGAGAGAGTAATTGTTAAATTGACTTGCACGAATAAAGGCATTTCTAGTTTGAAGTTACTATTTGAATGCTATTATCTTTGGTGTAAATTATTCTGTGCCTACGCTTCGTTGACCAGATACGTCGTGTGTTTGTTCGTCATCTATATTTTACGATACAATGACATGAGCGTGTTACCGTTGAGATTTGAGGATATAGCTGATAGGAGGAAATTAGCGAATGAACTTTTCGACGATTTTCCAACCTAGGGCGTCAACCTGAGAAGGGTTGTATTCGTACTGCTCTATGTCCTACAATTCTTCAAAGGGTAGCGCATGAATGAGCAGTCCAATGTGCTTGCTGTGTGATTTTGGATATATGTTCATATTGTATATACTGAATTGATATCATATGTCATCTAGCTGTTGGTAATTCTGTTTGTGTTCGGAGGACTTCCACTTGTATCATCAACCTGAGAAGGAATGTAGGCGTTGTGGGTTCTGACTCTAAAAAGAATATTACCCAAAATCAGAATTGAAATAAGCTTTAACCGCATAGAGATTCTATTAAGCAACGATAACAACTTTGCAGTCAATCACATTTCACTAAACAATAACGAGTGTTGGACACAAGTTAGTTGGTAACAGTAATGACACATTATGCTTCAGAAATATAACACACAGATAATCGATTTCATCAGCCGTAAATAACTGTGGATTAAAGAGTGGAAAATTACAGTCAACACGAATAGGAAGTTTTTAGATGACGTCTTTTTGTGGCAATATCACCTGTGAAACCAACTTTAAATGACAGCCTATTTAGTAAAGCAAATACTAAATGACCCAAGATAGTATGCTAGATCGAAATGATTAACTAAAAGAGGGTAGATAACATACATCAACAAGGGAACTAGAATTACTGCATACAGAACCCTGCCCTACATTCTATGTCAAGTACTGTGCTTGTCTAATATGCCGTCACTCATGTTGTTGATTAGTGTCCTTAGAAAGCATAACTAAAACATGTTTCTACACATTTTTCTTACTGATAACAACGCTGTTTCATTCAGCAGCTCAGAAGTACTGGAAGAAATCTTTGGGGAGATAGAATGAATAGATACAGAGAAGTAAAATCTACAGGATTTAGAGGAAGAAAAGAGGTAGTAAGTAATCAAATCTAAATCCCGTTATATGTGCATTATAGTTAATGATTTCCATCCTTCTCTTAATCCTATTTCGGAAGCTTACATTTTTGTACAACATTTGGATAACAGCTGGTAGATGATAGCTATTTCTTGTGTATACTTTCAGACTACGTATTAACGTAGCATATCTAAGACTATAATTCAAAAGTGAGTTTCTAGACAGACCTTTGCACAGCAGTGTAGCAGTTTCAACTGCCACACTTTATGTGATACACAAAGATAGAGAAAAGAAGAGGAAATTTAAAAACAGTTATGATCAGAAATTCACGGAAGGAAGAATACTAACATCGAAAAACATGATGACTTAGTGACACCATGATATCACAAATAGTTAATGAATATGAACCAATATGAATGAATTTTGATTTTCTATCAATTTTGCAGCCTACCTGAGGTAAACCTTATTCAAAATACATCGGAAATATATTCCGGTTTATTGTTCTGTGTCTTTTGCTTTTCAAATTTATGTTTAATGTCCCACAAACTCGAAGACTTACAGTCGAAAAGCAACAAACTAGCTGAAGAGATGAATATTCACAAAAACGGCAAGTGCAAAAACCATACAATAGAACCTGAAATTCATAGCTACCTGTCCAAAAAGAGGGCCCTCACACCATCATAAATGAAAAGATTGACACACTCAACTATAGGCTGCCGAACGGCAGTAACTTAAAGCGTAATAATGCGAATCAGTTTAGCTTGATTGGTAGGCCACCTCCACCTATTTACATGCCCAAACCCAACGGAGTTGCCAATTCATAGATCAGGAACTCTACAGAAACTACATTGCCGTGTTTTAGCCAGGTTCACAATGACTATCAATATATTACAAATGCTTACCACTCTCCACAGGTTTCGTCCACTCCCGATGAAGATAGGACAGCTTGTACAGCACTGCCAAATTACTGCCTGGAACTCACCTCACATGACAGCCAATTATCTTTTTCATCAACAACCCTCTATCTATTTTTCTTCTGACAGTCAACTTTCTTTACGCTCCAACTTACAGGAACATACAAATATGACTGACCCCTTCTGCTCTTTTAGCGTTCCTAGCGCATCTACAGACATAGACATTTCATTGTCGTCTGAGGACACTTTGATTGAATCTCATCACCGGGTAATTCAAGACTTGGCTACAACCTTAAGATATGACCTGGCTAATCCTAACACAGTTCTTAATAATGCTACGTCAGCTGTAAACAATGTGACATACATACAATCCCTATTAATGATTAGCCAACCTACAGCACTAATGATCACTGAAGCCTGGTGCACAAGTGAACTAAACGATGATTTCTTTCATTGTGAAGTTCACTCATTTTTCAGAAAGAACAGATCGGTTAAGCGGGGTGAATGATGCATTATATATGTTAGATTTGACTACAGAGCTGTACACTATGATGACCACAACTTGAATATATGCGATCATCATTATATGGAAACGAATACTTCTCAACCATCTACTATAATTAACTACTGTCTACTTCTATAAAATTATGTACGTTTATGAACTGTATTTCGCATATTTTAAAATGCATATTCGTTTTTATATCTCCTTAAAAATATAGCAAATAGACTAAAAGCTCCCAAATTACTTTCATTTTAATTTGCATAAGCTGTTTGATCATAGGTGTCTGCATTTTATCTCCAACTTTAGGTGATGTAAAATGGTGAGTAATACTGGGGTTAGGTGTCGAGTATTAATTCAGGATAGGAAGTCAGTCAGCTAGGTTGCGAAGCTATATCGATTCAGATGGGTAGGATGCGTGTTACTCATGCCTAGCCAACACCTTCATTGACGGCTGACATACGATCGGGATGGGAAAGTACTGATGGTGGTCAAACCAAAACATGAAATTAGTACATGAAACTTCTGAGTTAGTTTGAGTCACTTAGAGAGGTACAGACTGCTCGGGTGAAGTCCTCAGGATGGTAAGAACCAATGGCTGGAGAAAACTGGCGATGTAGCTCAAAATCTTTCTCATTGGAACAGGTTTACTCGCTCTTTGTGATCTGCCATACTCTTTAAACCCTTTTGTTTTTCCATGTTCCTATTCTTTCCGCCTCATATTTCCGTTAACTATCTTTCTTTCGAATCGCTTTTTTGTCTTCCTTTATGTGCCACATGCAGTGTGGCAGTTTGAACTGCTACACTTTTGCGCGAAGTTTTATGTTGAGACCAGTCAGTGGGTTAAGCTGAAGAAGTTTGATGAAGACCACTTTACGAGTACACCCATATGGATCTTATTCCATCTTATGGAAAAAGTGAACGCAAACAGACCTCAGAAACAAGATACACTTGCTACATATTTCGTTAAACAAAAGCTTACCAAAGGATGTGTAAGCTTTGGGTCAAGAAATATAGCTAAGTTTTGGCACTCACAGACCCACATGGATTCCAGGACGTAGGAGTGATGCATATATTATCAAGTCTCAAAGTAGGTCGATTTATCATAACACATTAGGGCTTAACCGCAGTAAGACTACGAAACCTAAGATTTTACAAACACTTTCTCTTGTTAAAGAAAAAGCGTTTGGCGAAAAGTTATTCTTTTAAATAATCGCTGAATTAGGGTTCAGCGAAGGTTTTTAAATAACTTTATCTTTTGGTTGTCACTAAGACTTTCCTTTTTAAGACTCAATAATAATAATAAGAAGAAGCAGAAAGTTAGAAGGCATTAAAAGTATGTCTGACAACTACAATCTCCTAGGCTAAAATCTAAAAACACATCGGGCATTAACAAGTTTAAGTTACAAACAGGATGAGTCGAGAACGCTGCAGCAACACAATGTCTGGAGAAGTAGTCGAATGCAACAATTAGAAAACCAAGTGAATTTTCTAGCACAGTTAATTGCTTTAGTCCTCCTAAACATTCATAGAGAATAGTGACTGCTTACTACGTCTCCCAAAGAAACTGAATACAGAGTATCACTGAGGAGTTCAAATAGAGATCATCTTAAAACTTACTGACTGGATTGCAGGACAATTTATTCTTCCGCATCTCTGCTAGTCTTCTTCTGAAGAACTTGTATTCGTTGGTCTCTGGAAGTGTCAGGAACCTGCCAAGATCACATAAAAGTATTAGGCAGCTATACATACCAGTACTGAACGCTGTCCTCAAACTTTTTGATCTCAGCTTCGCACAGACTGTGAGACATGCCACAAACGCGAAGGACCAATGATTCGATAGCCACCAAAACCTTAGGATCATCAGGAATAACTGGAAATACGGCACTTAGAACCCATTCATAGGAAGGTAAGACATAAAAAATCATACAAAGCAACTACCTTTTACGTCTTCAATTTTGCATGGTTTACTGAAGCAGTCAGCGAAAGCAACACAAGTTACCTGTCAGAATCATCGGTGTCTTCTAATTTAACCTCCTGAACAAAGAGTTAACTTTAAAAAAAAGAAGTTACATCAGGAACTATAGGTTTTTCAATAGACACTCTTTCTTGTTCAGCTAAAACCAGTTATTAATCATGCCGAAAAATACCCTGCATTTGCTTAAATAATTCCAAAAAGCTCCCATCGTTTTTGAAGGGTATTTTAGATGCCATTCAAATAACAAACAACTAAAATAGTGTTCCAAAGTTGTTGTAACTCGACTCTAGTGACACTATCCACACACTAGGTACAAGTAACCTGAAAAGTTGAATGCAACTCAAGTGTAACGCAAGCACTTGAACGGACTTGCAATATTCAATACCCTTCACGTTTCAGATTTATTGTTTGAGGATAGAAGGCTTGGAGCCTATGTTAATCCTTTTCTAGTAAATTTCTGTGCTTGCCAAACCCTTCTTGAACTAGTCATTTGAGGTCGCAGACGCCACTTCTCCGGGGAGTCGGTTCCGAGAGTTTATGACTTGGTGTGAGAACCAGTAATCCACAGCAATATGATTTATTCTTGGCTTTTGAACTCTCCTGCTATGTCCTCTAAGGTGTTTCGTCTTGGTGGGAGGGAAAAGAGAGAATAGGTCAGGTCTGTAGCCATTGTTTAAAATTTGAAGCATTCTGATTAAATCCCCTCTCTGTCTACGGTATGATAGGGAGAAGAGATTTAAACTGCCTAGTCTTTCGTCGTATGAAAAGTTAATCATGCCGAGAACCATACGTATTGTCTTCCTCTGAACCCTCACCAGAGTTGTATATAAGGAGGTGAACATATTGTCAATGTAGTTGAAGATTGAACGATCAATTCGTGGTTGTTTGCTCAAACCCAACTTCCCCAATTTTTCGCGGAGGCATCAATACACCAGTCATTGTCTCATCGATCGCTGTTCACATAGCAAGTACAAAACCGTCAGAAGTAATATTGTGATTTATTATTGTAATATTTATTCATAGACCTTAGTTGTAAAGTTGGCTATATGTTGGTGCTAGAATAAAGAATTCTCGAGTCGCCAATCTGTGTTCTGGTTTTTGCGTCCGTTCGTACTAAGCGTTTCTGAGAAGCTTCGAGGAACAGCGTGAGTCCCAGCGTAGCAAGAGCTGGGCATTAACGGTTTACGAGACGTGGCTGACAGTTTCTGACGGTACAACGTCAGTTTTTAAACGGTTTTAGACCGTTGGTGTCAGTTTGGATAGTCACCGTTCATCTTTCCTGGCGCCGGTCAAGTCCTCTCTGAACAAGCAATATCTGGAACATTTTTGGAATTGGGTCAAGTTCAACAATGCCTGGGTCAAAGAAGGGACAGAGCGTCTTGGATGCAAACAGGAAAGTAAGTCATGGTGACTTGTCTGTTAGTTGTAACGATGTGTCTGATGTTAAGCATGGCATGGTTGATGTTACTGTTTCGCTGTTCAGAGATAATAGGAACATCAAACTCCTTAAATTTGAACCACTGTGTTTCGACGGAAACCCGGCTGATTATTTACAATTTGTAAAGGAGTTTGAGATCATGCTAAGTGGTTTTTTATTAACTGATGAAATGAAGTTAATGTATTTGATGAGGTATTGCACTGGAGTTGCTGCAAGAGCTATACAGTGCTGTACGCTCATGCGCCCTAATGAGGGATACGCTGAGGCTATGAGCATATTACGTCAAAGGTTTGGAAGACCTTCAATGATTGTAAGGAACGTATACGAAGCTGTCAAAGGTAACGGTAGTCAACTTCAAGATGACTCCAAGGCACTAACTGAATTTCTGGATAATCTTATGACCTACAAGAATACCTTGATTTCTATGAATTGCGTGAGTGACCTCAACTCGAGCTCAGTCCTAGAGGCAGTAGCAAGACGCCTACCTACTCAACTGCAAAGGAAGAAGTATAAATATGTACTTCTGTATTTCCTGATGTGTTTCATTCACTGAGGATCTAGCGGATTTTTCCAACTATGCACAGAAACGATTGTACATAAATGAAAAGGATGTTTTATACTATTGGGATTAACATTTATCAAGTGTATGTATAATCTCCGGCGTACATGTTAAACATATTTTGCTATCGACTGTAAATTGTGACTGAATAATATGGTCCTATTTCTGTAACAATTTGATGATGCCTGTAAACTGGCGTCCCTCATGTACTGCATCATGAGAATAAATTTATTTATTTATGTTCTAATAGGTGTACATATGTTCATGCCTGTAAAAATGACTGGTTTCTGTTCCAGTAATAAATTATTATTATAAGTGTTTCTGAAGGTCTTCCAGTGACAGCCTGAGGTCCAGCGTAGTAAGAGCTGTACATTGACAGTTTATGAGTACTGGCTGATACTACTGCAGTGGTCAAATGTTAGAACTACCCGCTGTAGGTGAAACAGGTGCTTGCGTTATAGAAAATTGGTACTTCTAAAGTTAGGAAATTAAATTAGTGATAAAGTTATTGACATCGCTTACGGGTGAACAGTTAAAGATGTATATTTAAAAGCAATAGTAACTTGTGAATAGCTTGTGAATGTTTTGGTTAATAGTAACAAAGCTGGGAAGCCAAAAGTGAATGCATGGATAAGGGAAATCACCTGAACATTATATTCATATTCTGAAGTAAAATGCAATCAGACAAAGTAATTCGGTGATAAGAGCAGAGCAGTTTACTAAAACAAATACTTTTGTTGTCCTTGAATGATGGCTTAAATTAAACATGTTGCTAGGTTATGGTTAATATCATTCAGATAAGTTAGAATAAGTGTACCTAAATAATGATAATAATATGTATTTACTCCTATCCATGTAGAATACACCGATTGCGCAGGCATGGATAAGTGTTATTTACATTACATAAATTTGGTTTATGGTGAATTTACATAGTTGTGTCCATTTTCACTTTGGTTTCTGGGAGTAGTCTGTCAGCAAGTTATTCAATGGAGCACACTGAGAAATATAGAAATGTCTTCGCATCAACGAAAAAACACAAGTATGCTTTGGATGTATAACAAATGCCTATGGAAAAATATGGAGATTGAAGTGATTTCATCCATATAACTTCGGTGTGTATAGCATCGAATCTTATTCTTGATTTAAATCCAAATCGGGAATTAATTTAAAATAAGCTATATATTTGTATAACTTTGTTGGCATTTTCATCGTAAGTAACACCAGAAGTGAATTGTACTCGATGCAGACTGATATAGGTCACTGTCATACAGATTTATTTTACTGCGCCATGGTATATAAAAGATGTAACTTGTCATTAAACCATAGTAGCAACGCGCTAAGGCGATAGAAGTAGGGGGGATATGCAATAAAGCCACTCAGTAACCATGGGGCCATATAGCAGCAATAGCGAAACGCAACGTGACGATTTATATCCGCTGTAAATGAGAAGTGATGAGGTGACTCAAACGTTGGATATCCACGACTCTAGAGCCATGCAACACTGATCGAACTCCCGGAGTCATCCTGACGTTTCCCGCCCGTAAATAGTACCAACTAGTGGTCAGGAGTGTTAACTGATTACCAGCATGTGAGGTGAAACAAACAACCAATGGTCGGAGCGGTCGTTATGACCTAGACGATCGTATGCGGCCAGGTCGTGGTTACTCATGACTCTAGTACGCCATCATTGCTCACCTGGTAGTCTTTGATATAGGCCTGAATAGTGTCACAAAAGCTAAAATCTATGGGAGCAACAGCAATGATGGCAGTTGGGGCCCAACTACAAACTATCTCCTCTAGTTTAGATTATAAAAGCAGCCTTCTGCTTACACAGAACATGCATCTGGGACCACCGATAGGCAGCAAAGACCACGCAGTACTGTCGTATGGCTCAGTTGTCAGGGGGAAGTTGACTAGGGATAACTATTTTGATCAACTCTGCACTGGCTAAGCCAATAGTGCGATAATGACTAAGGTTAAGGAGTCGGCACCTTGACCATAAGACCAACATTATATAAAGGTAGGCGAGTGCTGCAAATAAGTGAAGGAATCAACCAGAGGACCTTCGATCACTTCCCCCTTCGATTATCATTCTAGAAAACCAGGTAGTTACGCTGTTCCACACAACTTGAGCTCGTTTCCGATTAGCTTCAAATATCACCAACGCTCACGGTTGTTGTGAAGCCGGCTGTTCCCAATACTGCCACAACTAGTGAAGGGGGAGTATAACACCAACAGCTGTTCAAAGATGTGATTGTTGAAGATGGTTAGAAAAGTACAGCGATACGCAGTCATACAACAGCGCAGCGGTCGCGCTCTTATTCCTAGTAGCAGGTAATGTAGACAGTCAGGGATAAAACGCAATAATGCAATCTATAGATGTTAAGCAGAAAACATATGGTTGTAAGGACACTCTATCAGCAGTAATAATAAAAATCCCGATACGAAGGAAACACTCAGGCTCACGACGAAGGAGATAGACCGCTCTGCATCTCCGGATTTCTCCTTTTAAACTTGTCAACTTCTTCCCAGACCTGGGTTACTGCATCCTTAAAAGGCGAGTTGTCCTCAATATGATCCACTCGGCACAGATGAACAAACTGACCACTGAAAGCGAAATGACTGAGATTCAGTTGTAATGATGAGTTCACTGAGTGAAAAGAGGCAGCGAGCTCCTCCTTCAGAACAAGGGAATGGCATGTGAGGCTTGAGACACTTAGATGGGGTCACACAGAGTGGATGGACTTACTACACCCACATAGAGTACTTTCTAGCAAAAAACCGGTGATTTATTGAGGTTAGGGCTGACAAGACAAGATTACAGGCAAACTTGTTTAGGAAACTGAAAACCAACCCGAAGAATCTGTGCCAATAAAAAAGGCTTAGGAGAAAACAAGTAGTCACGGAGTAGACATCCAAGAGAAAAACTTTCTGGTAATCTCATAATTGGTGAAGCCTTCAATTTGCTTATCAGGAAGACTGGTGGACAACGAGCCGACAAAGCTTCATCCTGAAAAATTTTCAGTGGGCAACGTAATAAGACAAGTGGTTATCAAGCATTGTGCTAAAGCTCTGCATGTTACGCTGAGTAAGCTGTTTGAACAGATTAAATGGATTTAAACTGCCTACAGACTGTAAGCTGACGATCCCATCAACTATTTAAACTAGAAAGACTGATAATGACGACAGTGATATAGATCAGTATATGGGGGTTTGGTGGAATTATCTTACACCGCCCCTAATTTATTAGTTCTCGCGTACCAACAACAAAGCAAAAGCCAATATTTGATCGTCCAAATCAAGAGATATATTTTGGGACCAAAACAAGCCTTCAGACAAACGCTTAGTTAGCTAGTGATCGTGCACGTTACACGACGGGGTACCAAATGGCGGGGATGCTTGACCGGAAGCCTTCAGCTAAACAAGTCGACTTAAACAGTGGTGGTCAGCATCCAATGAGTGATTGCTGTGGTCAATAATTTTGGGGAATTATTTACCGCTACAAGTATCTTTAATGTTAGTATTATCAGAGGCGATAAAAGGATTGCTGGATGTTTAGACCGAGGAACACCTGAACTATAGCGGAATTTCATGCACCATCAATCTACTGGCAGCTTGAAATAATTGCACGGCGTTTTGTGACGATAATATCCCCCACCATATACCGCACACGGGCCTTGTTAAAGCCCTTGCCCGGGCACTTCAAGAATTTAAACTGCAGGAAGTGCCAAAAATAGGAATCGGCAACCAAATACTGACTTCGAAGTGAACTTCGAGAAATCACGAGGTTTGTACAATCTCGTCAAAAGGATATTGGATATCAGTATCGGCCTTCAAATGATTGGAGCGTAGTTTGAGTCAATGTCTACAAGGGTTTCATTAAGACAGAAGTTGGTCAGTCATTTAGAGGATGCTGACTCTATTTTAAGGTTAGTTCTTTTGGAAATTGTCATCTCCTTAAATACTTCAGGGATATAGTTGCTGTGGCTACTAAGAAGAGACCTTCTGTCACACTTCTTCCCTTGATCGAATTGTTATTGGAAAAAGATCAACAGTTAAAAGAAACTTACCGGAAAGTAATTGACATATTTTCGAGTTGTTTTATTCTATTCACCTTCACCTAGTTGAGCTGTACAACGAGAAACAGAAGAAAATTGATTTGCTGAGAGCAGATTGTTCAAAATCTGACAAGCAAATTCAGGAATGTCAAACTCAATTGAAAAAAGCCGAAGTCATTCTGGTTTGTTTAGCTCTCTCAGTTTATATATTATTTACAGAGCACTGCGTTATATTACTCCCGACAGAAGTTAGATTCAATGAGTAATGCTGTTAAAAACCCTATTGATGTGGAAGAGCTTATCAGATTTTCGCACAGAATAAGTGCTACTCATGGCGTAATCGCTCCGGATAACTGGACACAGGGAGATCCCAGACGGCCGTACCCTAACAAGGAAGAGATACGACGGGGCTACCTAGGACATATTGATGATGCTGGCAACTTTCGACAGTCACTGTGGGACGCTTTGTCAGAAACTGCAGCAGCTGCCGCCTCCATTTCTGTTTCTTCCACACCATCTACCTCCAGTAATTCAGGCGCAAACAACTCATCCAGCCAGAATGTCGGATTATCACAAACGCCTGTATATCACTCAAATCAACCCCAGTCCTCAGTATTGCCTTCAGGTAAGTCTGCCGGCTAATTTCTCAGTTAGATCATCAGAATCTATACATTTTCTTATCTTGAACCTTAGTTTGTAAGTTGATTGGGTTTAGTGGAGACTAGTGCTGGATTCGTCACTGAGAAATATGAATGTTATGCAGTGGTGCTAGTTTTTGCATTCTTAATTATATCTTAGTTGTATCTATGACTACAGAAAGTAAGGAGTTCTGTTTTTCATGTATCGGCTGTAAAGTAAACTCCAAGTGTTAATGCAACTTGGACGGAAGATATTTACCAGCTTCAAACTAATGAGCAGGAAGATTTAATCATTGCCGTATTCTGTAATTGCACCACTTGGCGTTAACTGGTAATTTCTCGCCGTAGGTGTGTAAAGTGATCCATATTCTTTTTCTGTTTTCGTCTGGTTGGTGGCGACTGTTCTATATGCCTTGAATAAAAACTGCAATCTGAGAGTCCTTGTGAAATATATGCATTGAAAATCGGCTTGCCCCAGGCCTAACGGATACACTCCTGTTTGGTATAAGAATTCCAATACTTTTAATCGAATCATTTCCGTCTTGACCGATAAAACACACTTATTGGGAGAAGTGTTAGTTTTATTCCATTCTATTGCCGTTGCAAATATGTAGACCAGTCTAATTAATTAATTCCACTTTCTTTTATGATTATATATATATGTTCCCATCGAATGGTCTTCCTGTAATGTATGATTCTATTAACGCCCTCCACAGAAAAACTTTTATTTTAACGGGTGATCGCTCTTCCACTACTATTTATATGTACATATATGGCATAATAGCCTTATGATTTTACCTTTTAGTTAACGAAGTCATGCGGAATAGGAAATGTTTATTAGACGTTTTAGTAGATAGCTATAAACGCAGTATAGCACTCTATAGTTATTTACATGTTTTGAGCAGTTGTATTGACATTTTTAATTTGACAGCCAAAATGAGCAGTGGTGAAAGTTTTGGTTGCTATGCTGTGCATCACTTTTTTACACAGCTAATGAATTTAAAAAAGTTGACTAAGCGGAAAAGTGTGGAAGCTGATATAATTTGCTTTCACAATGATTTCATTTAACATCTTTTATTATAAAAAATTATATAATAAGTCACAATACTTAGTGTTCTACATACTATGCAATGTTTTAGTTACTTGTTCTCCGAATATGATCTTACCTGGCGTCAACATGGTTTCTTCACCGATCTCTATATCACAAGCTGGTACTTCAGCTACATGGGCAGCTTCAAATGTCAATCCTGTCGCAGGAACCTCAGATCTAACTGCTCCTCAAGCCCCATCCTCCCGTCCACCTTCAACTTCACTAGCTGCTATGTTGACAGGTGCAAATGTGATGGAACCACATTCCCGTAATATGACACTTCCTCCGCCTCCTCTCAAACCTGTGAGCAATCAAGCACAAGCAAGTCAACCAGTATCTTTCCGGCCAAACGGTGCTCCGCCCCGACAACCCAGCACCAACACTGGAATTCGACAAACATTCCCTACATCTCCAGCTTCTTCTGGATCACAACAAATGCACTACTCACTTGGTGATACACATCCAGGTTCTATGCAGAGTACCAAGCTATCTCGACCTCATACTAAACGTCCTCACCAGAAACGCCCAGGAACAGAGTATAGTGAACTTTCATCTAATTCCTCTAGTGATTCTACTAGTGGTGAAGAATGATTTAGCTTAGATACCTTAGATAGATACAAAAAATGTAAATACATGAAGTGTGCTTATGTCCTATTTGGTTTATAAAGAATTTGACGAATTCAGAGTGTTGCACGTAAATATTTGAGTTGTAATTAACGTTGCTATTGTTTACATTTGTAAAAAATTATATTTGTAAAATCTCAGCGAGATTGAAATGATAATGATATAATTTTTTTTAGAAATGTCTACTTCTCACTCGGCGCCCAAATATTTTAGAACTATTCTGTCAAATCTTGACTACAGTTCATTTGAATTGCTGTTGTTTATTGTTATATCATGCATGTGTAATTTAGTGAAGTTAGTGCACTGACTTAAGAAGCATACTCTGAAGTAAATGAAGCAACAAACCATGGACAGAGGTATATAGTGTCTTAATTGATCAATGCAGTGAGGGCTAGTTTTCGAAAAATTATCAGAAAACACCTCCAGTCATTCAAAACAAGAGGAAATTTTTGTGAATAAGCTACAACAGACATGATTGAATTTCGTAGTCGGTCAGATAGACTTTTTCTACCAAGTATGTGCAGCTCTTTTCCAGCCTGACCCTATGTTAGCTAACATAGGGTCAAGCTGAAAAAGAGCTAGCGGCGGTCAAACCAAAACATGGCACCAGTCAATGAAATCCACAACAGTTAGTTTAAGCCACATAGGAAGGTGTAGACTTCCGGGTTGGGGTCCTCGGGACGGTTGGAAACAATTGGTGACATGGCTCAAAATCATTCTCAATGGCTGGTGCAGATGCGTCCACTCCTTGTGACTTATGATTTCCAATGAAACTATATTGTTCCTCTTTATTGCTATTCCTTTTGACTCACATCTCTGTTTACTGACTCTGTTGTGCATTTCTTCTACTTTCTTCTGTTGCTTTGTATGCTACATGTGGGGAGTGTGGCGACTTGAACTGGCGCACATATGTGGAAAGTTCTATGTCGAAAACAGACAGACCAAGTATGTGTATGTATTATGAGAAATCTCATCAATGATATGCATCTTAGCATGAAATCGTCAGTGGGGGGTACAAACATTGGTCTCGGTATTCAACATGACAGTGACGGTTAAGTTCTAAGATAGATACGTTAAGTGAACTTTATGTGAATTGAAAAAAAAGCTTCGGTCCTATGAGCTACGAAAAAGATGTATTTAAACACTCTTCAATTGTGTGAGAAAGCTATTCCCAAAGATAAATCTAAAAGAGTTATCCGTTGATGCGAATGCCACCAAAAGGTCCGAATGAAATCCATGTTTAAAAAAAGAGATAACTGTGAATCTTGTATTGCCCTGATGATTAAACGGTTTTATTTCATGTAATCTTCTATACCTTCTGAAAGTTGACCATCTTGCTCCTGTGGAATATTTTTCACACTAATACACCGTTTCTTGTTCCCACTCATTATTTGATCTCCTTTATTTCAAGAACATGCACCAAATTTCTTAACCTTCAATAATTTCATCTACTCTTTTTAAAAGACAAAAAGAAAAGCCTATTTTCATGACATTTGTCTATCTGTCTGTTTTCGACATAGAACTTTGCACAAATGTGCGGAAGTTCAAGTCGCCACACTCCGTGTAGCACGCGAAGCAAGAGAGGAAAGTACAAGAAAAGCATAATAGAGACAGTGAGCAGAGGTGTGAGACAAAGGAGTAATCACGAAGAACAAAACAGTTTCATTGGAGATCATAAGGCACAAGGAGTGGATGCATCTGCGCCACTGACAACGATTTTGAGCCATGTCACCAATTGTTTCCAACCATAGATTTTTACCGTCCCGAGGACCCCAACCAGTCAGGAAGTCTACACCTTCCTACGTGGCTTAGACCAACTGTTGTGGATTTCATTGACTGATGCCATGTTTTTGTTTGACCACCGCTAGCTTTTTTCCAGCCTGACCCTATATCCGCTAACATTGCTCGTCGAAGGAGGAGATGGCTTGGCATATGTAACACATGTCCTAACCATCTCAGTCTTTGTAACTTCACGACTTCGTCGATCGATTTCCCCTGTTTACCTAGAACTCGGCGCCTAACTTCAATGTTGCTCACCTTATTATGCCACTTTACACGGGAAATAGAGCGCAGGCACCTATGATCAAAGGCAGCTAGTCTTTTCATGTCTTCCACTCTCAGTGGCCAGGTCTCACAGCCATAAAGGAGGACGGAGTGGACTGATGAGCAGTACACCCGCCCTTTGGTCGATAGTCGAACATCTCGTCTATGCCAGAATCGGCGTAAACTGGTAAATGCGAAACGAGCCCCCTGTATTCGTGCTGAGATTTCGTCAGAGATCAACCCGTTGGCACTGGCTGATGGTACTTCCCAAGTAAGTGAAGCGGTCAATGTGCTCTACCACTTCACTTCCTATTTTTAAACTAGGCGTCGATGTAGTCCAGTCCTGTAACATCATCTTGCATTTGGCGGGAGCGAATCGCACGTCAAACATTCGTAGATTGCGGCTCAAGGTGTTTAGAAGACTCTGCGTTTTGTCAGAGTCGTCGCCTAGAAGGACTATATCGTCCTCATATTCTAAGTCAACGAGATTATTCCCCGGTAGCAAGTCAATCCCTGAGTCGCTGAAGTCACCTAGGGTTAAGTCCATTAGTACATCTATGATGAAGTTGAATAGAAAAGGAGATAATGGGCATCCTTGACGGACACCACTGGTCGTCACCAGTTCAGATGACAGCTCGCCGTAAGCCCTCACCTGACTGTATGAGTACGAGTAGAGTGCCTTAATCAGTGCAATATATTTTCTTGGAATTCCCTTTACAGCCAAGCATCTCCAGAGAACTTCCCGATCGACAGAGTCGAATGCTGCCTTTAGGTCAAGAAATATAATGACTGTTGGACGGCGGTAGGAATGCCTATGTTCTAGAATCTGTCGGAGGGTGAAGATATGATCAATACACCCTCTTCCTGGTCTAAAGCCTGCCTGGATCTCTCGTGTTTGTGCCTCCCGAGCACCATTCAGTCTACGCATGATTATTGAGCCTAAGACTTTAGATACTATATTAGTCAAGCTAATCCCTCTGTGATTATCACAGGAAGACTTGTCTCCCTTCTTGTATATGGGGATAATCAGTGACAGTTGAATACTGAATGATAATTTATTTTGCATCCACATTACGTTTGAATCTTCGTAAGTACACCAGTGTTATTTGGCCGCAAAAGCATAAGTAAATCACTACTTTTAATGCGTGTTTAAAGTGTAGTGGTGTGATTTATCTGATTCATTAACGAGAAGATGACTGACAGTGATATTTTCTGGAGTGGAAATCTACTATTTTTGGATATTTAGAAACGATTAAGTGGAAGTCTAGTAAAGTAGACGGCTTTATGACGCGACGAAGATCGTAACTACTATGTTATTCTGCTAAGGCACCTTTGCTTGAGAGTAGGCATAGAAGGGATACACACACCTCTCACATGTCATCATAATTAGAAATTATTCAACTAGTGGAATAAACATTTGAACAACAACAACTGATTTATATATACATTTCTTGTCACAGATAAGATTAGATTACCTTTCAATAAAATGTATTTATAAGTGCAATATATGTATGTTGAAAAAAGTGAAGAGATAATATTGCAATTTAGTCGAAATTTTGATGCATCGAAATGTGCGAAAAGAAAAGGAACAAACAAATGAAGAGAAAAAAAACAAAAACAAAAGAAATCAAAATCGAAGAAAGCTCCAGTAGACAAACATGAAAACTGTTCAATCACAGCCGATAAAAATGAAGGTGTTTTTCTCTTTTTTTTTCGCATTCTAGAAAAATGATTAAGGTAAAATCGATCATTGTTGAGGCATAAAGAATACCGGTTTATCATTTGAAGTATAATTGGGTTTCGGTGGATCTGTCAAAGAGGCAGAAGTAATCACAGTTTTATTCACGGGATGTTGTTGATCACCACCTTGAGAGGTGATGTTCACCTGTCGTCTAACATTGGTAGTTGGATGAACCATTTCAGGGGTATAATAATCCATGGGTAATTTAATCGGAGATCGTGGAGACGATTCCTCTTCCAAAAATGCTAGTAGAAGTTCTGTGAAACTCTGAAATTGAACAAAACAGATGTTGCGTTATAAATTGCAGGTGTATGGAGATTATTAATTAAGAAAATATAATTGGATAAGATACATAGTGTTTGAATTCAGTGCGCTGTCAACTAATATGAGACTGGTAGGATGACGACCTCACAATGTCTGACTAGACTATTATAAAAGTGAGAATAAACGCTGAAGTGGAAATGACTATATTATCGGGTATTTGCTGTATTAAATTCTCAGACAGTCATACTAAATTAACGTCTTAAATGATGACACAACAGTGACACCCTTAGCTTAGTGGGTAACTTCACTGGATGTAACATAGTACTCTAAACATTCAACTAGCAATCAATAGGGTTTTAACCCATGAGAAGTTATTCCCTTCAACTGAGAGCAGAATTTTCTACTTTTCAAAGACTAGTATACTAAGGTTAACTTAATTACAAAATGCGGTTATAATATTCGATTATGATTCTTGTATATTACAAAACCATTGGTAGAGTTCGATTGATTATTTGACAGTATCTTTCTACAGCTTTTACCTGGTGCTCTGTTATCTAAAAATCTGAAAGTAATCAAGATTGTAAATGCTCACCTATATTCTAAATGAAAACTGTATTTGCCCATTACCTGGCTTCTAGTATACTGATAAAAAAAGGTTATTTTGTAACTAAGAATCTGAAGAGAATTTAGCGCCAAGTATATTCTTCGTTCACAACAACTTCTTATCAAACACCAGGTAGAATTATCGACAATAATCTCAGTGTAGTATTTCAATCGTATATTAGTGGGGGTAGTGATTGCGTTAGAAACAACTATATCAGTCGCTGCAGAATGGGCAGCAGATCTGGGACCTACAAAAGGTAGTTACTAATCAATTCAGGTGTCAAAGTTGCATTCAGCTGCAAGACTAATGCTTAACACCATCTCTGGGGTAGATGTGATATTCGGCTATCGATCAAAGGACGTGTGTATTGCGCAACAATTCGCTCCAGTCTCCTTTATAACTGTAAGACATGGCCATCGAGAGTGGAAGATATGCAAAGGCTGACTGTTTCCGATCATGCGTGTCTGCGTTCTATTTCTTGTGCTAACTGGTATGATGGAGTGAGTAATATTGACGCTAGGCATAGATTATTAAGTAAGGAGGTTGTGAAGCTACATCGTTTGAGACATCTAGGAAATGTGCTTAGCCGTCGCCTTTATCGACGGGTAATGTTAGCTGATATACGATTAGGTTGGAAAGGAGCTAGTGGTAATGAGACCGAAACATGGAATCAGTTCATGAAATTTCTGACAATTATTCTGCACAAACCACTGTTGTTCTTGTTTTATTCAAAACAGCATATATATATGACATAAATAATGAATTATATAATGTAGAAATGTAAGTAACCTTATTAGGATTTTCAGAAGAGAGTAGAACATCTTTCGGAGGTCCACTAGGTATATTTGAAACAGCCGTCCGAACCCATCCCATCAATTTCGGCAGGGTCCCAGATTCATTGGCAATCTATAATCAGAATTTGTATCAATGAGAAATACAGAACATAAAAAGTCACCACATGATAAAGATAACAGTCTGGAATAGATTGTTTAACAAGTGCTTATCGGATGTTCTTACTGAATATCACAGAACTCCATAAAGTCTAGTATTCACTATGTTCTAGAACATTATCTAGAACATTTGGTTTAGTATTGTTTAGCAAACTAGTTATATATAGTTTTTTGGATGAAATATCAGCAAAATGGATGGTGTCCGTCAGTGTTTCTCTTCCTTTTCACACGAATTGGTGTTCTAAAAGTATGCTACACATTCTAGTAGTTCACCTCTTCAGGCTCCAAGATAGACATTAAGTGAAGATTTTGCTGTGTTGGACAAACGTATTCAGCAATACAGTCATTTTTCCCAGGAATTAAGGTAAAATTAAGTTTTTTTTATTGTATTGGGAAATCGTTAGCAAGATATTTGTAATAATTTCCATACATTAGCAAAATTCAGCAGAGTCTTGCATTACTTCCCATAAGTTCAGGAGGCAAACAATCAAAATAATGAATGCTCTTAGTTCAATAATTTTTCATTGGTATTCGTTGACATTTCGAACATACACTATTTTAAACCAGTTAAGTTTTCTTTTCACTTTTGTGCTCAGTACCCCAGGAAAGATGTCATATGAATCGACTTATTATGTAAGGGACTAGTAATGCTATCTAGTTGCACTCAAACTGAAGCAATTGAAGCGGGACACCAACAATGTAGTTATTAACTAACCACCTAAAATGAACACCAGGACGCTACTGTACAGAATATTAGGTGAAATCGAAACATGAATCACAGCTGAATGGACGGTGATAATGTATTGTAGAGGTGGATAAAATGAAAAGTGTTTAACGACACATAATTTTGGTTTCTATCCATGTAGAGCTAGAGCTTCGGTTATGCATATGTGGAGAAAACGTAAGCTTTTGGAGTGGTTGGATTCAGTGCTGTATATAACTTTGAAGGATAAATCTCGTGGGGCTAAATGACTTGACTTCAAAATGTGTTCACAAATTGAAGACTTCGTCGTTCTATGCTCACCTTTCATTAAGCCAACTGGGCAGTGTTCAGCTACGCGTTTACGGAGAAGACTCTTACAACGTCCAGTGCAATCAGCTCCACACGAACATGTGAATGAGTATAAGCACATAGAGGTGGGCATAGACGGTGGCTTATCTTTAGCACACTGTCGAATCATATTTCAACTAATTAAAAATGCCCATTAGAATTTTTCAAAATAATGTATACTGAACAAAAAGTACTCTTTTCGATAATTCCATAATCAGGCTCTACATTTATACATACCTTATAGTGAATGAATGAATTAGTGTTATGAACAACGTTAATGTTGTTTAAATAAAATCGAATCAATAATATTGACAGATTACAGCTCAATATCATCAACATAAAATAAGCTGAATGTCAGAAAAATTAGGAAAGATAATATTACAAATTCATGAATTTGTAGTTCCTACTGAAGGCCAACCAGGGAAGTATTACGGGCTGGAATTGCTTCTTTCGGATACAGAGCGCTGGTTGTTTGAGGCGAATCGCAATAGCCTCTGCTGTTTGGAGCATGCGGCGCTTCGTTGATTTTGGCAATTTATTAGGCACCCGGTAGATTATATAGAAGGATTCTCCCACGATGGCTTTGTGGCCGGTTTGCACCAGATGGTCCAATATCGAACTGTTAATGGTTTCCACTACACCTTTACTCAGCAATAGTGCGAAATGTTCTCAAGCATAAAAAGAGCTCTTCATACATTTAGATGTACGTACGACTTTTAATGATTTCAGCAACAGTTTCACCTTTGAACTCCATACTCATAAACAGTGTCTTCTTTGACTGACTTACACTTAGTATTTTACCAGCCGAAATATGATTCAACAATGAGTTAAAAATGAACTACCGCTTATGTCCATCTCTATGTGCTTATACTCATTCACATGTTCGTGTGGAGCTGATTGCACTGGACGTTGTAAGAGTCTTCTCCGTAAACGCGTAGCTGAACACTGCCCAGTTTGCTTAATGAAAGGTGAGCATAGAACGACGAAGTCTTCAATTTGTGAACACATTTTGAAGTCAAGTCATTTAGCCCCACGAGATTTATCCTTCAAAGTTATATACAGCACTGAATCCAACCACTCCAAAAGCTTACGTTTTCCCCACATATGCATAGCCGAAGCTCTAGCCATACATGGATAGAAATCTAAATAAAGTGATCCTTAACTCTAGACTGTTATTGTCAGTTCCACTGGAAATTAGTTAGTAAAAGGTTGGTTACTAAAAGTAAATGCTAGAGAAAAGAATAATCCGACTGGAAAAAGTACGAGATATAAACACATAAGGTAGACCAATTGTACAGAAACACTGAATGAAGGGAATCAGTAGTGATACTGTGGTGAGAGCTGACTGCTAGCCAAATTGGTAGACAGTAATTTACGTCGATGTTTACATCCCCAACATTGGTCTTGAGAAAAATAAGGACAAAGACTGATTCAACAACTAACCACAGCAAACTTTGTGTAGGCGGATACAGTTAGTATATATATATATGATCTGACATTCAAGAAACAGCCACAAAGAGAAACAACCAATCAGAAGAATGTGTTTTCTGATAACAATAATCTATAATAATGTACATGGAAATCTATAAATGTGTTGACAGAAAGGAAATCTGTCGGTTTGCAAAATAAATATCTGCTCTTAACATTATGAAAATTTCGATATATGATACCGCTTTTTCAAGATGTATGTCAATGGACTGGTAATGTGGTAATTATATTTATCATCAATGATAAATACACCAGCATTGGGATGCAGCACGCGCATTTCGTCTCATTTAGGACTCATCGACTGGATGTACCTGCATTCCCAGTAACCTGTGGTGTCCCCTCGGAGACTCGAACCTTTCACCCATCTTTTGAAACTCCTGATGCAAACACGACTGTATGACTAGTCCCAAATTAGACGAAATGCACATCTTAGATTCGACTGTTAGCTACCACTGATCAAAATAACTTAACGTGCGTCGGTGGCACAGTGGTTAGGACTCTCGCTGACCATGCACATGGTCCGGGGTTCGAGCCCTCGCCGACGCACACTTGATATCTTTGGTCGGCCTGCGAAATTTGGGCTACCGATATCCACGCTGAAAACTCCATACTTCTACCAAAAGTACGGTGTGGGGGTCAAGCTGCAATCAAAAATAAAAAAATCCTTAGTTATCGCACAAACGTCCCTACTGGATAAGCCTAGAATTACGGTTTAACTTAATCAATCAACAGGTAATGTACAATTAATCCTACAGACAAATTATAGGTGAACACCAGTTAATAAAGAATTACTTATATATGAAAGAAGATATTTACTAGTGAAAAAGTAAAGAAATATTTTACACTAAACATACTAAAGGGACGAAAAACAATAGAAGGAAACTTTTGTTAATTAGAAAGTAAACACATAAACACTAACCTTAGTATAATCCTCTTCAGAAAATCCTACCAAATTACCAATCACTCGTATCGCGTTGGAACGTTGATTTGCTGGTAGTTGTAAGTAGCTAAGTAATAAGTTTTTAATTAGAATCCTACAGAAGGGAAACAAACAGAAAAAGGGCTGTGATAAAAGAAGGTACCATCAAGAGGCTGTATGATGTATACATGTGAAAACAAATGCATGGCCACTTATCATTTATGATTCGATGCATCTATACACCTGTTTATCTAACCCCACCCTTGTACACTTTGTAGATGACACAGTCAACGATTGAATATAACAGAAAATTAATCTGTTATCAACATCACGAATTTTGATTCTATGGGGTAAAATAAAGCATGAACACAAATATAACGTCAATTGTCACAAAGGGGTGGACGCAATAATGTACCTCTTAGCCGATGATAGATAGACATATTTAGGTGTGTATGAAAATTTAATAGAGTGAGATATTGCCACATAATGAACTAAAAGCCAATCGGAACAGAGAATATTCTTTTCAACAATTTCTCCTCCTCAGGTTCCTACAATAATAAAACATAATAATATTTGTTGCTAATTACAATAGTGGCCAGATATGCGGCGGATGCCCAGCTGTTATATGATGAGAAATCCGTTAGGTATGACACGATCAACTTACTGCAGCACTCTAACAAATAGTCCCATTAGTTTTCCTATCCTCGTTACTACTAAACTGTTGTTCTCATCTTCTATCACACATCAACTTTATATTTCATATCCTGTGGTGCATTGTTTGAAATGTAAACGCTAGGCTGCTTTTTATTTATCTTTCGTTTTCTTTTGGCGTTGGTTTTTTATTTATTTACTTTTTTTTAAAAATCTTATAAAATTTATGAGGTAATTAGATGCAATATATTGTAATGCACGCTGAAAACTCCATACCTGTACCACAAATACTGTTTGGAATAAAGCTGTTATTATTATTATTATGTAGAATGACAGATTAGTAGTTGTATGGTGACAAAATAATTAGTAGTATTTGTGTGACAAACGTGCTAGGCTGAATTGAATTACAAAATATTGTTAAATGGAAGACAATGGTGGTGGTGATTAATCATAATAGTTCACAATCCAGACGAGATACTCTTGCAGAGATTCTGTCGCAACACATCACCAGGGCGATAAAGAAAACTTTCTACTCTGTACATCTGTTCCTCTCCTTTAGCAGCTGTCCAAGGTCCACCTCAGCAACTGAAATTTTTGTTTTAATAAAGTCTCACAGTGTTATACAGTAATGATTACTGATGACGTTTCGAGCACAATTTATTGCTCATAATCATATCAAGGTATTCACACGACTTCCTAACTTCATTTATCATGTCATATCATCGTAAACATGTTCATGTCATCAGTAAACATTACTGTATAACACTGTGAGACTTTATCAAAACAAAAATTTACCCATAATGGAATTATACTCTACCACAGTGCACAAGTTTTATTCTTATATCAGCAACTGAAAGCTGTCTTACCTAACCGTAGTTCTTAATGCATATACCATTTCAACTGCTCCTGTGGTTCAAATTATATAGGGCGTACGATTAGGCAGTGTTGTCTACGGGTTTGAGGACATTTAACAGCTTGGCACATCAGTAAGGAGGAAATCGAATGCACAAAAAGCTCGATTCTGTCAAACCTGGTCAATATATATATATATATATATATATATATATATATATATATATATATATATATATATATATATGGCAAATTAGTAGGACTTAGTATTTATGGACCATTGGGGCTCGCCTCATAACCTGGTGTATAATTCCCCGTCGGGTCATGGGTGCTTACTGATGGAGGATCCCAAACAAACACGAAACAGCCATCCAATACTCACTAGTTCTGAATGGTCCTCTAACTGAAGTCATTTCGTGATCAAATTTAGGGCCTACAAGCACATCTGTGAGACTTTAAATTCAACTTCACTATGCAGTGTTTCCACTACATATCAAAGTACAGTGCAAAACATCGGTTGCTTCTTCAAGAAAACTTGTTATTGCATTACTAAGGTTGTTGCTTGAATGCTCAGTTAATTCACTTTAAGAAGGAAGGATAATTCTAAAGATTACATGTGAAGGCTAATAACACTACTGCACTGACTATGACTTGAAGGGTTCAAAGGGATTCAAGACTGCAACTTATGATTTCTCAAAGTTAAACACTAGAAACTAGTAGAAAAACGAGCAGATTGACTATTAATTTTTCGAATAATACAAGTTACAGACTATGCAGAATTTGTAGATTTACTGAACAGCTAACAAACTGAGTAAAACATACTTTAGCAGAAAACAGAAATTAGGCGAAAGATTGCATGGCAGATAACCCTACAGTGAAACTACTTAGCACATGACATTTGACATCCATCATGATGAATTAAGAGCAGTAGTAGCAGATTTTGTACATAAACAAATATAATGAAAGGTAAAATAAATTTTGAACGCAGAAAACAGGTTTGAGCCTTTTTGTGACTAAGAATTCAACCAATTTAAGTATACCGCCCACACCTATTTTATATATGGGTTTAAAGACACCACTTTATGATCTGTCTTTATGATATGCTTTGCGATAGATGACGTTGCACATCTGTTTCCGGGATGCAATGAATCAGGTGATTCTACTTGTTTTTGGAGCCAACTAAGAATGTGTTATGCTGTAGGCCTGATCTGCAGAGACCGATGGTTGTTTTTTATCTACGGATGACTGCACATCCATGAAAAATGGTAAACACATTGGGATGTGACAATATCGTTCGAACACTATGCGGGTTTACAGAATAAGATAAGTTTCGTTTAGCTGCAATGTAAGTTCTATTGAGTACTGCTCTGAGTATTTGTTTAGTTATGGAACTTTGGTGATCACCCTTAAACGGTGAAGATATATAAACATCTTTAGGTGAGCTGATTGGATTGATGGATCTTCATCTCATAATGTAAGTGTGCAGGACTTCAGCTAACAGACTTGCCAATCAGTCGGTGGAAATATTGGAGTCTATTAGAAATTTCTGTGAGTGTGCTTTGAAAGACATGTCTTTGATTTAGTAAAGTTTCCAGCCTATCAAAAGAAAATTATATAATATAGTCAAATCAATATGACTAACTGGTAACAGAGAAGATTTGTAGTGCAAGTGGATGATATTGAATTAGATGTGTTCTCTGAGCTGGTTGATTTAATTACGAACCTTTTGTCGTCCCCCAATCTAGACAACATCTTCAACACTCATTTGAATTCTCCATGAATGATGTAATTGTATCTCCTGGAAACCATCTTCGTGACTGGTTTTTAATTTACATCTCTATTGATTCCTTTTATTGATTCGGAATCTGAACTTTCTTGTTGTGAAACTTACTTCTTATTAGCTGGTAAATTTGGTCCATAGTGGTAATGTGTTTGTTAATTGCTGATTCTTCTGATTACCAGGTTTTCAGAAATTCCTTTGTTTAACATTTCTACATTATCCCAATCAAATGGGTGTCCGTAATAATCTACATGCATGGATATGAAAAAATATACACCAAGTTTTTTACAGCTAATTTGTGTTCTTGGATTCGGATTCGAAAGGGACTCCCACTTCGACCGATGTAAGGTGTATCGCAGTTCATACAATTTATTTTGTAAATAGTATTGATCTTATTGTCTTTTTCTGTGGGATCTTTTGGTGTGCACAATATCGAATAAAGTGGTTGTTCTGGCCTATGTGCTATTTCTATTTCAAATGGTCTTAGTATTTTAACCGTTACTTCAGAGATATCATTCTATATAAGTTCATTTTAAAGGAAAACCTGCGTTGAAGACGATGTCTAGAAGGAAGACGAAAGCTTCGCAATTAAATCAATCAGCTCAAAGAACACAACTAATTCAATGACCACCTACATAGTATACAGTTTAAAATAACAACCAAAATACAGTGTAATGTATGTAATTAAATTAATTTTAATAATAATCTTAGCCTACTTGTCAATTCGTGCATCTGTGTCTACAGCCATTTTCGTGAGACGTTCACGAAGTCCATCAACTTCTGCATCACGCTTTTTCACTGAAAGATTAAGAAAAACAAAACAAACACAGTCGTTAAACAGTTGGTGAATTATTCACCTTCATTGGACACCTAAAATAATAATAATAATAAGATTATAATGCCTTAGTCTGTGTTGTTTGACTTAGCTAAATAATAAAGTGACGAAAGTTGGGAGGTGGGGGGAAAAACAACATGCAGGAAGGCAATTATTATTGCTATTATTCCCTTGGGTTTCACGTGGAACATAGAGCTTCGACAACACACTACCATTTTGTTCTATTTTCTGCCGTCCTATTCAGCTGGGTCCACGATTCCCCATAAGGTTTTATCTCCTCCATGTCACCATCGGAACACTCACTCGTCGCTTCCCACTTGGACTGGAGCGCAACGTCATTTGACGGCCTCCATTTTCTCCTACATATTTGTTGGGCGATCGGCTCTCGCTCGTTGGTTTGTTTCAAGCCAGAGTTTCTTGTCGCTGATTCTTTCTAGTCAGCCATTTGATCTTCAGTATGGAGCCAGCGAAGGAGGCAGTTGTTGATAAATATCTGTAACTTGTTGGAAATGCTTTTCATGACAAGCAATGCAAAGTTTCTGACCCGTATAAAGGAAATGACTGACTTCACACTTAAAATGAAAATTCGAATCTTGTCGTTTATACTGGTTGAGTGCAAACGATTTCCAAACTGGTTTCAAGCTGATTAAGGCATATCTTGCCATTTCCACTCTTGTTGTTTTTGACACCATCCGTTCTACGTGTGATTGAAACCGTACTTCCTAGATAAGTGTAGGAAGTTTATTTTATTTCTTTAGGTTCCCAATGGAACATAGGGTTTCAAGCTAGAGCTTTGAAGTTTCGGTAGCAGTGGTATTTATTTTTACGGAATGGGGTTGCTAGTGTCATGCCCAGCCTTCCCTCTTTACCAGTCTTATTACTGGCTTAGGAAGGTAAAGGAGCGCGCCGGCCGGGCCCGAACCACATAGGCGTAGTTAGCGAGCATTCTATCGCCATGCCACCGACGCAAGTGAAGGAAGTAACACGTGTAAATCTTTCCCGTTGATGGTGACTGGTGCTGGTTGTTGTTGTCGCTGCAGTTCATTGGTTATCTTCATCACCTCCAACTTCTCCATGTACACCTGGAGTCCTGTCTTCGCTTCCATCTCTTCAGCCAGTTTGTCGCTTTTCGCCTGTAAGTCCTCCAGTTTGTGTGACATTAAACATCAATCATCCACGCCTGAAATACGGATCTTCTAGAGTCTTCTCATCGGTGGTCTAGTGTATTCCTCTCTTCCCACTCCCAACGCACAGTCTGACGCATAATCCAGTCTACCACAATTAGGAATATCATCGTAGGGGATAATATGCGGCCAGCTTGTCTTACTCCTGTATTCAATTTGAACGCTACGCTGAGTTTTCCATTGTGGATCACCTGACACGTGGCATTGTCATATAGTCAGCTGTTGAATGAGGTTGATAAAGACTTGGGGCACTGCACGCCGAAATGTTGAAATAGTTTCTAAATTACTTCTCGGTCAATGCTATCTGTCGAAGGCTTTTTCACACGAACGCAATCGGATGACAATAACAGAATTGATAGATAGGACAATGTGTAGATACAGTGGAAACAGAGATAAAAATTTCATCTGTGCAAGAAGTACATAACTGTCATTATGCTTCTGAATTTTTGCATAGACTGAAGGTGAAAATTTGATTTGGCGATCAATACTGCTGCTCTGCGCTCTATGTACCACTTGGAACACAAAGAGGAATGAATGATGAAATAAATAAATCAATAAAACATGGAAAGAAATTACACATCAGAGATGGAAATTAGTATTATAATACCGAAATTCACCTTTTGTTTCAAGACGTATAGTTTGTTCACGTAATTGTTGATTAGTACTTTTCATTTGTTGTAAATCTTTAGTTAAATCTTGATAACTAAGAAGTGTTTTATGAAGTTCTTCCATTTCTTGTCTAACTGTCATTTCTTTTTGAACAGTCCGCGTAAGCTCTGATCGAAGATGTTCTGTTTCAGCTGCAAGTGCTGCCTCTTGATCTAATAAGGAAAATAACGAACGAAGAAACAAACAGAGGTGAAAAGGAGAAAAACTACTGTGAAGTAGAATATTTGTGTGCAAGGATTGTTTTATCGGCAATTTTGAAAAAAAAACACAGCAACAATAAGAGGACTAAATTAATGTCAGTAAAAAGTTTGAGTATTGTGGGATAGATCAAATAAATCATATCTGATCGGTAGTACGCACCCACTAGGGTTCGAACCCAGGACCTTCCGGTTACAAGGTAAGCTCGTATTCCATTCAGCCACTGGGACCCGATTCAATGGATAGCCCATGAATTCTAAATTCTACCAATTTGTGATTTAGCGCGACCACCAACTGATGTAATCGGCGGTAAATCCATCCTCACTCCCAGCTGGATGGATCACACTCGTCACGACTTCTCACTAGAACTCCATCCTGTAGCGAGTAACTAGCGGGCATCAGTTTACAGACAATGATAAGTTTTCGTTTTTAGCAATATTTCGAGCGAAATTACTGCCCGTGCCCACATTAACTGTTGGAATTGTTTTGTTTTTCATTCAAACATTTGTTATTTGTACTCATGTATATGGCTCTCTTTTAGGCCATTCATGTTTATGTATCCATAATTATATTCCAGGTTGTTGACAGTTATGCTGAGTCACCCTTGTTACATGTATCCGGCATGACCTTAAGGAATATAGATTCTGTTATTAGTCTCTCTTTCCAGGTGTTCATAGTAGACTACAGAATACAAACATTGTCCCAATCAATATTGTGGTTTTTGTCCCATGCCTATGCAGCTATAAACGAATTTTGTTTTAAATTGTTGTAAGCTTGTATTCCTGTAGGATGACCTTATTTTGAATGATCTGGATGCTTGACCCACATATTTAGTCGAACAGTCGGGACAAGATATTTTGTAAATTACATTATTTTTATCCATCATTTTTTATTGGAACTTTCAGTTGATTTATTTTTAATTGGATTCGTTGGTTTAAACATAGTGAGAATCCAAGTATCTCTGAGTTTTCTTCAAATTCTGCCTCTGATTTACCATTTTTGTATGGTATTGTGATCGCCTTTTTGATATCCTCCTTCTTATCATTCTCTGGTTTTACCCTAATTTTTCTCTTTTTTATATTACGTTTGATGAACTCTTTTGGTTAGTTGTTGTTGAGTAACAATTTTGAATAAGACGTTTATTTCTTTTCGTTGGTCATTTGGTGTTGTTGTAAGTCTACGTATTCTGTGTGCAAGGCCTTGCATTAACCCTCGTTTTACCATGAGTAGGTGGATGAGCTGAGTGATAATCAAGGAATCTCCCAGCATATGTAATTTTTCTACATAACGATGTTTTTATGCTACCATCTTTATTGGATGACAGTCTAGGGGAGATGCTAAACCGTGATTCCAAACCTCCAACGACTGGCGTATGAAGCTCACCGGCAGACGTATGGATAAAGGGCTTATTGGATGCCCTGGATGTCTGGCCCCATTCAAAAAGGCGTATGAACCGGACTCCGGTCACCGTCTGCCAATGGATAGTGGACTCCCTACCCCACTCCTACTGCCTTGTAGGCCACACTTGGTTGTTAGAGCTGCACTCTCAAACAAAAGGCCGAGCGATGCTGGGACATCACTCGTACTTAATTCCCATGAAACTTCATGAAGACTCTACAACATCAACCAAATTCCAGTACTGGTCCAAAAACGTCGCCTTCGGTGGATTGGCCATGTTCTGCGCCGACCAGATGACGATCTGGTCAAATCAGTTCTAAATCCCTCGCCATTTCCATCTTGGCGATGTCGCAGGGGTGGACAGCTGAAAACACGGCTTGGTACAGTCAAGGCTAATATGGAGTTCCTGGGGCTACAAACCGTCCACGGACTCCGTCTGTGGAACAAGAATTGGATAACCCTGTCGCAAAACCTTGCATCAGATCGCCGCGCCTGGGCAGCGATGATTCGAGATGTTCATGAAGCCGGGTAATCCTCCCGTAGGAGATAGCCGAAGTAAAGTGAAAAGTAAGTAAGTATTATTCTTTGTACTTTGCAGTCTAACATAGACAGTTCCCGCAAAGGATTAAAGTCATTTCACATGTATTGTTATGTTGTATGAGTGTCCCTGTAGTCAGTCAACAGATAGAGTTTGTCTTTTCGAGGTTGCTCTATAAAAGGAAATCAAAATCACACCTCATAATATCAGCAAAATATTTAATATGCAATGTCTCAAGTTGTAAACTCATTGTTTTTCGTATTAGAATAAAAATTTAGATATGATAGAGAAGATTTGTAGCTCAGGTGGACGATTTTGATGTGGTTTTGTTCTCTGAGCTGGATGGTTAATTTGCGAAGCTTTCATCACCCTACTGGGTGACATCTTCAGCGCACACTTCAATTTGAAGTGAGCTTTTAGATTTCTCCACGAGTTTATTAGTCATCTCTCCTGGTGACCTTGGACATGATTGGTTGTTTATGTGTGTTTTTACATCTTCTAGGTTACTTGTATTGGAACTGGCTGTTTCTTTGACTTGAACTTTGGCCCTTTGTGTGTGAAGTTTCTTTCTTATTGGTTGATAAATTTTGTCTATCTCTATGTGTCTATTGATTGACGATTCACTGGAATGCCAACCTTCTAAAAATTCTCTAGCATTCTTGTTGTTTCCTCTGTCTAATATTTGAACGTTGTCCCAGTCGAATTGATGTCCGTGGTTGTCTGTGTGTAGTGATATGAGGGAGTGGATATCATGTCTTTTCACGGCTAACTTATGTTCGTGGATACGAAGACGAAGGGGACGTCCACTTTGGCCAATGTAGTGTTTTTCGCACTTGTTGCAATTTATTTTGTAGATGATGTTGGTTTTATCTTCTTTCCCTGTTGAGTCTTTTGGTTGACATAGAATTGAGTGAAGCGACTTTGTTGGTTTGTGTACGACGTCAATTCCTAAAGGTTTGAAGAGTCTTGTAGTGATTTCTGAGATATCCTTTATGTATGGTAAGGCGATTTTCTTTGTGTTTTCCTTGGTGGCTTTTGCTTTGGTAGGTTGGCTTGGAGGTATATGTTTTTTGATGAAATTCCGTGAATATCCATTCTTTTGGAAGACGTCCATGAGATACTTTTCTTCAATTTTCCTTAAGGTGGGAGTGCTGCAATGAGTCCTAGCTCTCTTGAATAGTGTTCGTATGCAATTCCTTTTGTGTGTTATTGGTTTGTTACCGTTGTAATTTAGGATTTGGTCTGTGTGAGAAGATGTAAAAAAACACATAAACAACCAATCATGTCCAAGGTCACCAGGAGAGATGACTAATAAACTCGTGGAGAAATCTAAAAGCTCACTTCAAATTGAAGTGTGCGCTGAAGATGTCACCCAGTAGGGTGATGAAAGCTTCGCAAATTAACCATCCAGCTCAGAGAACAAAACCACATGAAGAATAAAAATTACGAGCTGACATCAGTTAGAGAACCACTGGAAAACCTGGGAGTACTGGACAGCCGTTTCGTCCTAGTTTGGGACTCCTCAGCAGTACGCACCCACCGGGATTCGAACCCAGGACCTTCTGGTTACAAGGCGAGCTCGTAGACCATTGAGCCACTGGGACCCGATCCAATGGTCCTTGAATTCTAACTTCTGCCAGTTCACGACATAGCGCGACCACTTCGCAATGTCTTCTTCGATGAGTTACTGCCTCATCTTCGACCTGCTGTACCCTACTGGTCACGGCTTCCCACTAGAACCTCAGGTTAACTACCTGAATAGGGCCAGTCACTAGTGAGCATCAGATGAATTTTCAAGTATTGGTTTTTTGTAGGGATTTTGTTTGATTGCATGGAGGATTTAATCATGAGCTGACATCAGTTGGAGAAGAGTTCCGAACTAGGACGAAACAGCTATCCAGTACTCTCAGGTTTTCCAGTGGTTCTCTAATATATTCTAGTGAATACTTGACCTTTGGCAAAATCGTCGCATTTTCGAACAGATGGAAGTGTTGACTGCTATGAAGATATTGTTCAGAAGGACGATAAAAAACTTTGCTCACAGAACACAACAACACCGAAAACGTTTATCTGAGCAAAGAATCTTTTTAATATTTGAAAAGATATACAAAACGTATTCCGATGCCTCTAGTTGTCAATAATTGACGTGTTTGTGCAACAAAAAAAGGCACTTCCAATATTCAACATATCCAAAAGTACTCAACACTAAATACTCAACAAAAACTACGGACAAAGAGTTGTGTGACATATTACAATAAATGTTACTATCGAAAAGACTAACTGTCTTTGACCACAGATGTTAGCGTTCTGTCTCCCGTATTAAAGGGTTTGTCATGGTAAGCAATATTTAGGTATGTTTTAGGTTGATAGTTGTAGAACTACATCGATTAAGATGTCTGGGACAGCTGATACACATGCCAAGCTACTGTCTTCAATGATCAGCAATGTTAGGTGACATTAGACCATGTCGGGAAAGAGTTATGAGTGGTGAATCAGAACGCGGAATCAGTCCATGAAGTCTACGACTGCTGGTTTGAGCCAGCCATGTAGGGAAGTGTAGACTGACTGGTTGAGGTCCTTGGAATGCTCAGAACCAACGACCAGAGACTATTGGTGATATGGCTCAAAACCTTTCGCAATGATGCGAATGCATTCACTTTTTGTAGTCACATAGACCCATTAAATCCCTGTGTTTCTCCTTGTTACTACTCTTTTTCCAGTAAACATCTGCTCAGTACAGTTCATTTGAATTCCTTTTGTCTAACTTTGTTTGTTATACACAGTGTACCAGATTGATTTGCAGCAGTTCTAAGCAAAGTTCTATGTCCGAAATCCAGTCAACTAATCAGTAATAACCTCAGAAACAGCAATGGGTTAGGGAAGGGAAACCACTAAGTTATCGTGTGATAATTAATTAAAGAGAATGATCTACTAGGCATTTTAAAGGATTAAATTCTATGTTAGCTCTTTTCAAAAAGCACGAAGTGATACAATATTCTTTTTTTACTGAATGACCACTCAAACACAGTTTGAGTTTGGCATAATTATGAGCAGTAAATAATATTGTAACAATGTGTACCCTAACAAAAAAATCATATTCTCTTATGGAGCTCGAGTTGTAATCCTATACTTTTAAAAACTGTATAAAACGTTAAGCAGAGACAAGAACTAACTTCGTTGGAAATTATCCAGTACATTTTGAAGTGTTGATAAACTTTCTTTCAAATCAAGAACTTCACGACGACTAGCTTCCAAGTGTTTCAATGCTTCATCACGTTCTGAATAAGCTGTTGATACGCGTTCATTTGCTGTTTTACAAGAATCAGTCAAACTGGTAAGAGATTTTTCAGCTTCTGCTAATCGTCCACGAAGTTCAACTTCACGATTTTCTGCATTAACTGCTTCAGTTGTATAAGATTCTTCTATCTAATTCATTAAATAAATGAGAAAAAACCGAAAAAGAGTAATTAATAATTATTGTGCAGATAGAGAATTTGTGACGGAAACATTGAAACGCATTTGTTTATTCTTTTTTGCCTTTCAAGGGGAACACAGGGCTTTAAGTTTTCAAGTTTCAATTATGGATGTTGTTGTCAATTTTAACAGGGTGGGGATGTCAGCCTCACACCTAACCTTCCCTCTTTATTGGAATTACTACCCATTAAACGAGGTTTCGGGATGCATCAACCAAGAGAATAGGACCCGCACCACGTGGGTAGTTGTTGGGTAATCTACTACTGAACCACAGACGGAGATTAGAACATTATTTTATCATTTTTGTTCGTAAGGCTTTGGATTGTAGTCAATTAGACAACTTTGTCGATATTCGATAGATAGTCGGCCATAGGAAGCCCTGTCTAGACCTAGGTTTCGTGTTAACTGGCACTCGTCAACAAGACGTATCTGCAAATTTGAAGGAACTCATGTCCCTTCTGAGATTCGGACATGCATCATCCAGTGTTGCAGTCAGAGACGTTAGCACTGAGATATTCGCGCTCGCGAATGACCTCCTGTAGAACTGTATTGGATACTTTTTATTGGACATTAGTTAGTAACTAGTGTAATGTGTCTAGTCCTTTGTTTAATGAAGACTGAATTCCGTCAGGCAATTTTGCAATATAGCCACCATTCTAGATGGCTCACCATCGCCGTACACTTTGAATTGTTGTTGACGAGTGGCAACAAGGAAGAAATCTAGGTCCAAAGCTTTCTGGAGGTTGCCTTCAACCATCCAATAACAACAGTTCAGAGTGCAACGTGATGACGGGTCACTTAGAATGGTGACCACATTGCAAGCTCGACGGATAGAATTCAGTCTGCACCAAATAAAGAACTAGACGCATGAAACTAGTTACTGACTAGTATTCAATCGAAGTTCATTTCATACCAAAATTTACGCTGAAGATGTTGTCTAAATGGACAATGAAAGCTTTATAGTTAAATTAATCAGTTCAGAAAACACACCAAAATCAATATAAAAAACATAATTTATCACAAATACGTAAATAGTTTTTTCTACAAACTTGATGCTTTGATCAATTCATGAACAAAGAATTGTCATGTGACTTATAATCCATCCACAATTCAGCATAGATTTTAAGACTAAATACATTTTAATATTTACTGTCATTATACTTGAATGATAAAACATAATACCATGTAGAAAAACCGAGAATCTTTTGTCGAATAGTGACTAGGCAGGGATTCCGGACACAACTAGGCAAGGAATGACCATACGTAATTCAATCAATCATGTGGCGGTCATAACTTCAGATTTTAAAGAAATTATAAATTCCCTCCCAACAGCTGAAATACATCTTGTTTACGGCTGCTGGAGGATATAACATCCCGGCCTAAAAAGCTCTTCCTATCTATTAGCTTCTGATATTTAAAAATAAAAAACTTGAAAACCGAATTACAGTTACATGCTACACAAAAATGATCTGATTACTGCATAGAATTAATCAGACGTTAACTCACCTCAACTAAATGAGCCTGTAAACGTTCAATTTCAGCAAGTAATCTTTCTTCATTTGCAGTCTGTCCATCGAAATGCATTTCATGTAATCCTTCTACACATTTATGAGTTGCTGGTGATGATTCACTCATTGCAATAGATTGTTTCACAATAGACTCAGTTTCCACCTTTGTAAAATGCAAAAAGAGATGGGAAAGATACACAATTCAGTTGTAAATTGATCATTCGATATTAAATTCGTACTATAGAGTTCCAGTCAATTTCTTTTTCTTTGTTATGGTTAAAACAAAGTCACTGATTAAGTGAATCTCAACGCAGGAAATAACAAAGGAATATGCATCCATGCTTCGGTTGATACTCTCCAGACCAGACTACTACTACCTGACAGGCGCAAGATATGGCCTATCTATCTAGATCCGTAACATTTTAATTCATCGGAGTGATTAACATCTTAACCATCGTAATAATTATGGACAGGGGACCTTCGGCATGAATCATTTACAGTTCCATTCATGTCATTCAAAAGGTAAAGGAAAGGAAAACATATTCGTATAACATATATTACAAATCATCAATAAAGATTACGTAAGGTCATGTAGAGGATCAGTCATTCGAGAGTTAAATTTCAGCATCCGTTTAGTATATTCCACACGAAAATGACACTGACAGTAGTTCTGCACACTAATATATACAAAAAATGAGCAAGAAATTATGAAGTTTTATACATAAATTGGATATTCTCTGTGTCGTTATGTTTTCTGACCTTGATCATTTTATTGAGTAGGGTCCTATTGTTCTTCTAAGCAACTTGTTTTAAAATTCATTATCGAAAACTTTCAGTCGGGATTACATCAACAGAAGAAGTCATTTACTTAAATACCCTTAGGTTGTATGAAATTTCAATAAGCAATACAAAAAATATATCAGAACATTGACATTTCCAAGGCACACGTTTTTTACGAAAGTGAGTATAAGTCATTTAAGCAAAAATGAACTTCTAACGCCTAAAATATATAGATATAAGGATATAATGGATATTCAACTGTCAGATTGTAATGATCTCTAAAGAGTATGCTAATTACACTGGGTACGAATTTGAAAAATCTTAATTGTTTAGTCACCTCAATGAGTTTGACATCAATCTTATGATGTATATCAAAACGGTTTTCAAGATTACACATAAAAATCGATAGAGATGTACACTAAAATACTCTGAAGTGAAAGTCATCTTTTGTGCACCTAGCGATTTCTTCTTACTACATAATTCAATTTGGATTTTCCCAGTGATTGTTCGGTCTCGGTTGACCGCGCAACATATTTCAAACAATCTGATATATGTATATATATATATATATATATATATATATATATATATATATATGAAAATAAAGAGATCCACTCTTCAACTCGCCACTAAGAAGGATGTGTACATCATAGCAGCTTGATAACTAGACAAAGATTGAACGTACCGGCTAAAAAGACTTTTTATGCAGCTAATATCATAATAATTGAGAATGTGAAGCCAATATATCTATATAAGCCCTTTGAACAAGAGAAAAATGATGTCACATCCCACTGTACTTACCAATTTGAATGTATGTGTGGCCACACATACATAGGAAGGATTCATCGATCTCTGAAAGTAAGGGTTTCAGAGCATATTCCTAAATGGTTCCAGAAACAAATAGAATCTTCAGAACAGGAGACCTAGCTCCTTTATTTCCAAACATATTATAAAGACAGGACATAAAATTGAAGTTTACACATCTTTTGAACCTATCCATAAAACGTGATTGGAGCGTATCCTAAGTTTCGTGAAAACTCTAGCTGGCAATTAGAAAGTTTACATCACCCTTGTACATTCAAAAACAATTCATCATAACACTAAACCTTCTTTGGTAAACTTTATTTTGATACCAGCCAGGGTAGATGTACTATTACCTCTGTTATTTGGTTAAGCGATCTTCATTATTATTTTGACCTTCAATATGTTCTTTTAACTTGACCTAAGTCTATTTTCTCACCTCTTAACTCTATTAGTTTCACAGATATATTCCTATGACAAGTCGGTGTGTGATGAGATTGTTCACAAACACATTACACACGATTCAGACAAATTACCTCTTTTTATTGCTGTCTTAATCCATAAAAAGGGAACCAATTGATTTCTTAAAAAAAGAGGGAATTTTATTAATTTATATAAAAAAAATTTTTCCCAGTAGAGTATGCTTACCTGTTTGACAGTTAGTTGTTCACGTAAACTTTCTACAAGAATTTCTGTTTCTTCACGACGTTTATTTGCTTCATTTAACTCAGTTAAACAATGTTGTAATTTTTCATGGTATAACTGACTTTCTGCATGTTTCTGTTGTAAACTATTCACTATAGAGTTATACACTGATTGAAAACTATCTGAATTCGCTTTAAACTCAGTCAACTTTGAATTGAGTTTTTCAAGCAGACTGAAAACTTTTCTATTTGTCAGTTGACAGGATTCTGGTAATGCAACGCAAGACTGAGAGTCCTCTGAAGTAACGTGAATAAACTCATTGTACATAGAACAGATACATTCAATAATCTCCTTACAATAAACTTCATAGCCTTCCTCAGATTTATTCACACTTGTAGATAAGTTGTCATCAAATGGTAAAGTAGTTTGTGTTTGTGCATCAATCCGAACAACTTCAAGAGGACTATAATAGTTTTCAGTAGAGACAACAGCCACAGGAGAAGTAGGACGTGTAGTTGTGGCAGTAACAGAAACAACAGTTGACGTTGACAATTTTGCCTCCATATTTGATAAAGCACTTTCCAACTGTTGTTTTTCTTTTGATAATGTATCAATTATATCGTGTTGATTTTGAATTGTAGACAGTAGATGCTTTAAATCACGTTCTGCTTGTGTTCTAAAGTTTGTATGCTGTGCTAGAATATCTCGAAGAGCTGCAACCTCGGCAGACAATTTAACAACACTATCAGATTGATCACCTGTTTCAGTGACTTCAGAATCTAAACGATCCTAAGTATTTGACAGAATAAGACAATTTAGTTTACTATGGGGATTTATTCATGAATACAAATAAAGATAGAGCATGAAGGCAAAATAAAGGTGTTATTCATATATTACTTGTAGATGATCACGATTCATTTTCAAACTGTTTTCATCCCGAAGTAAACATGATTTCTACCCGTATATATGTATGTATAAAGTGTGGAGGGGTTTAAATTCTCATAGATTTTTGAAGAACTCAAAACGTCAAACAAGACTGTTTAACATCGTTCGATACAAACCTCCAGTTGGTCAAGGATCACATTTGTATTCAAATTTTAGTTTGTAGGGATTTGACTGATTGCTTACAGGATTTCATTATGAGCTGACATCGGTTAGAGAATCACTGGAAAACCAGCTGGGAGTACTGGACAGCTGTTTCCCCCTAGTTTAGGACTCTCTAGCGCTATGTCGTGAATTGGCAAATATTGTAAATCAACAGAATTACAATACTGATTAGGTTAGAAGAAACCATGTAACAAGGTAAAGTTGACTCTAGAAGGCTGTTTAGCTTTATAGTGTGGCGTGTGCCACTGACAAGACTTATCAGTAGTATATAAAGACAGCACAAAAAAGTATGAAACAGCGAGGAGATAGATTTCACGTAAAGGGAGCAACTGAACCAGTATCATGGCAAAACATGGGAGACACGAAAAGAAGACGAAGAAACACAATAAGGAGGGCAGAGGTAGTACAACACAAAAGATCTGTGCAAATGATGATTTTAATATAAGATGGTATACATCATTTTTTTATGTGTACATCAAATTCCATTACCGGATCTCTTGTATTCCCGCGTCACAATAGTAGTTGAGCTAATCAGCAATGTGTTCAGACTAACCAAGCTCAGGGAGCTCAATCAGTTTGATGCGGTCAATTTTCTGTTAGCCGCTTGGGTTAACTAGTAATGTGTAATGTGCACGGTTCCTAGTGAAATTCCGTCACAATTTTTGTGGGAGTTTAAAAAAGCCAAAACACCCTTTAGATTTCACAAACAACAATAAACACAGGCTGGTGTGAATGGGTTCAAAATAGTGATATTAAAAAAGTGGCAAATATCAAACTATCGGCAGTACGCATCCACTGGGGTTCGAACCCAGGACAGGACCTTCCAGTTACACGGCAAGCTCGTATACCACTCAGCCGCTGGGACCCGATTCAATGGCCCATGAATTCTAACTTCTACTAATTCATGATTTTAGCGCGACCACCAACCAATGTCATTGGCGGGAAGTCCATCCTCACTCCCGACTGGATGGACCTCATTGTACACGACTTCTCACTAGATCTCCAGGAAACTCCATTCTGCAGAAAGCGACTAGCGAGCTTGACTTGTAACTGGAGGGTCCTGAGTTCAAACCCCAGTGGATGCCTACTGCCAATGGTTCCAAAACTAGAATGAAACAGCTGTCCAGTACTCCTTGGTTTTAAATAGTTCTGTAGCTTATGTAAATCCGTAGTCAAACTCGAAAAACAAATCAATTCTTAAAAATATCAAATTGCCCATTTCCTAACTTTTTTTTCCTTCATTTTGCCTTTCAAGTTAAAAATAGAGCTTTAAACTTGTGTTTCGAAGTTTCAGTAGCAGTGGTGTTGCTTTTACGGAGGAGCGAGGGGCAGGGAGGTCTAGCCTCACACCTAAACTCCCCTCATTGCCAGGTTTACTGAAGGCTTAACGAGGTTTAGTCGTGCCGTCGGCTAGGAATCAAACCCGGACCAAGTGTATTGTATCACTAAACTACAAACGCACCGTAAACCAGCAAAATGAACATAAATTATTATAGCATTGAAAAGAAAAAGTGTTCAGCAAAGAGTTACTCTTTTCGGCGATATCATTCTCAAGCTGTACAAATCGCAAATTTATAGTAATTTGTCTTGGCAACAAAAGGAATATTTCCAAAGATGTGTTAATGCAATTGTTAGTTTTTGACAAACAAATTACGTAATTTTGAAGGCGTTAATCGGTTAGAAACTAAAATAAAGTTACAAAAGTAGGTTGGGTGACGTAATCTAATTGGTAGGGTTCAATGAAAAAATGAATGAGAGTCAAGTTAATAATCTGAGTAGAATTCACTTGAAAATGAATGAGAGTTAAGTTAATAAGCTGAGTAGAATTCACTTAAAAATAAACGAAAATCGAGTTAGCAACAGTCGTCAGGAGCGTAGAGATTTAATAGAGGGTGAGGGTACAAAATAATGCAATTAAGAAATAGACAAACAAAGAAGAAAGAGGTAAGACAAAATTACGTATTTGGTGTTAAGATAGATCAGGACCATTGTAGATTTAGTGACTGAACAAACTTCTTTTGTATGCAGAGTTCAGGATTCAATATGTGAATTGCCATTGCTTCTGCAGTTTGAAGAAGTTTAATTCGTACTCTTTTGGCAAGATTTCCACGTATTGTGTAGATAACTGTAGATTACCAAATTGCATGTTGGCGTATCTTCCCCTGTTGAAGTTGACTATTCAATTTGTTAGGAAATTCTAATTATAGATATCTAAGCTACGCTTAACTTAACCGGGCGTGCATAAATTACTGTTCATTTTACAACCATAAGATTATAATTCAAATGACCCATAAATTTGCCAGTACACACCAGTGAAAACAAAATCAAATTGAAAGATGCATTAATTGATTATTGGGGAGAGAAAAAAATAGTGGACAACACTCACTTTGAGTAAAGTAAACAATTCAATTTCCCAATCGTCTGGATTCCATTCTTTCTCGCCTACTTCTGGATCAAGAGATACACATAACTGATAAGCCAGAGAGCTTAATTCAACAAAATCATCTGAAATTTGTTGCTCATCAATACAAGCGGCGGCGGGAGCAGCAGCAGAAGACTTTTCATTTTCATCATGTTTATTTATTTGACTACACAACTGTTGATTATCCAACTCCAACTGTCTACATTTCTCTTGTAATGATAAAAGTGAATTATTAAGACGAATAATTTCATTGCGTGCAGATACCTCAGAAGCAGTTAACAATGCCAGTTGGTCTTCAACAGTTGCAGGTGGCCAAGAACAAGACGTTTTTCGATCAAGTAAGTGACTAGGCAGTGTAGGTGGTGGTGGAAGTGATAACAAGTGTGAAATACTCTTGTTCAGGGTTTTTTGTAAACGATTAAACGGTTCTAATTGATTTTCTAGTTCAGCTATACGATGTGCATTAGACACATTGTCTTTTGTTAGCATCTTTTCTAGTTGTTGAATTTTCTCCTTCAATTTACTTGGAGAAGATGAAAGCTGAAAAGTTTGGAATGAATTAAGTCGAAGATGATAATCATGATGATGATGATGATTAGAGATTACAAAACAGTAACTTCTCAACTTGCCATAAGATATTTCTACGGTTTCTTACCGAAAATGTCCCTCAGTAGATCAATTCGTAAAAGTAGAACACGATGATGAAATGAAGGGTGTCAACAGAACAAGCTTTTTTCCTGAATGAATGTGAAGAATTTCAGTTTTTATGTTTTTTTTCCCATTTAGTCTCTACAATCTAGAAAGCCCAAGTACTATATGAAATGCAACGAAATAAACAAGATTGTCAACCAAGATGAGAGTTTTTAAGCTCTCACGTTCTGGTGACTGCTTATTATAAAGTTAAACAATGATATTCCACGTAAACCAGTAATTTTTCTAAACAAAAAAGTGGTAGGCATACTTTAGGACTTGTCCATCATCACCTCTGCGTGGATTTTGGACAAATTCAAAAATAGGAGTGGCTTGATTGCATTTCCCCGCCTACTGTAGCGTCGTAGTCCATTGCTATGGTGATGTAATGACAAGTTATTTTTATATGCTATTCAAATGAGATTTTGAATTTTTAGAAAATTTTTGACGCACATATTATCGATGGAATTATATTCTTGAATTGCGTTACATTTATTGCACTTTTATCAGAAAAAAAATGTCACTTGATACTGATGTATATGCGTAATGTAAAATGGATTACACATAGAGGCAGTAAGTTCAAAAGTTAAATGTATATTACTGAATTGTCGCGAAATCATGTTTTCTCAAATTTTAGCCTATTCATTGAAATGCCCTAATATCCACCGGATAAAGCAGATGATGCCACTTCAAAAAAAGGCATATGCCATAAAGTTACCCCGGAAAACTGTATGAGTAGTCTGAATGATGATAGTTAAAAAGAAACAACACTCGATTACTGCAAAATATGCAAATAAAGTCAACTTATGTATTTCAAAAACCACAAAAAACACTCTTGAATGAGTGGATTCACAAGGTAGAAGAAATGCTATTGTGACGTGTGCTACTTGATCGGATTTATCAGTAGTATATAAGCATCATCAGGAGGAGTAGACTTCCTGGTGAGGGCTCTCGGGATTGTTAAAAAAAAAGAAGGCTGGCGTCAATTGATTATATGGCTCAAAATCGTTCTAAGTGGAGCAGATGCATTCACTCTTTATGATTTGTCATATCCAATAAATCTCTATTATTCTTTTTATATTGCTATTCTTTTTCCCTCACACCCTCACTTACTTCTCTTTAGAATCTCTCTTTACTCTCTTGTCTTATTTCGTGTGATGTGTATAGAATGCAGCGACTCAAAGTGCTCAACATCTGTGGAAAGTTCTGTGTTGAAGCCAGTCAGTCAGTTGGTAGTATATAAAGGCATAAAAATATCAAATAGCAGGGAGACAGACTTGACGTCAAAGAGAGCAAATGATTTAGAGTTGCGGAGAAACATGGGAGGCGTGAAAAAGAGGACAAAGAAACACAATATGAAGGAAGGTGAGAAGTAGCACAACACAGAAGATCTGGGCAAATGGTGATTTGAAGATAAAGGTGTACATAATCTCGTTATATAGAGATACTAAATTCCAAATAAACATTTCTTTACCAATTCATTTGTTTTCTATACATTACACTAAGAACAGATTTACGAAGACAAATGTATAACTCTCAAGCTAAACACCTTCAATATCTGTAACTTGGCAACTAGGTGAAGTAGAACTAATTACTTTATAGCATTCTGTTCCTTAAATGCAAAGTTAACTGTCAAATTGACTAAGGTAAATTTAATCTCTTGTAACTATGTTGACGATTCACCGAAAAATAACACACAGATGATGGGATATTATCAAAAATATAAACCAAAGATGCATAGGGAGTCATAAAGTTTTGCGATATTCCAACTTCAGATTAAAGGTGGTGATTAAAAACCCGAAACGATAAGGCTTAAAATGCATTTAATTTTAACATAAGTATGAAGATAAAAGGTTTGTACTGATTTAAATTAATTGTAATGTACATTTCGTCACTAACCAACATCGTTTGGGGTATCAATGAAAACCAAGGAGCACTAAAAAGCTGTTACGCCCTGGTTGTGAATTGTCTAATGGTGCGGACCCACTACCTACACCCGACCAGGGATCGAACCCATGACGTTCAGGTAATGGGGGTCAACTCCTTGACCCACTTACGCTGGAACCCAGTAACCTATAAATTCTAGCTATTGTCAATTCGTCACATTGCGCTGACACTAACCAATGCAATCCGTGGGTGTACACTCATGAAGAGCCCAAGTAGGGACGAAACAGCTATCCAATACTCTCTCCTTTTGATGATTCTGTGACATATATTAGTTACTGGCGAAATCCACATCTAAATTACTCCAAATTCCTACAAAACCAATAATGTAAATACTAATCTCCAGCTTATTGGTGGCTACTGGGTTTACGTCCTCAAGTCATAATGAGAAATCTTGGCCAGTGGGGTATACCATGTCAGGGTGAAGTGGATACTCATCAATAGAATTGGATGGCTGTAGTCCTATTATACGAATTGACAGAAGTTAGAATTCAAGGCTCACTGAATTCCAGTTCGAATAGTTAAATGATTAACAAGCTGGCCTCGCAACCTGAAGGTTCTAGGTTCGACCTATGGTGGGGTTTGTGGGTGCGCATCAGTAAAGATTCCCAAACAAGAATGAAGTAGACGTTCAATGCTCCCTGGATTTCAATGGTTCTCTAACTCATGTTAGTTGGTGACGAAATGTAGATTGAAAGTAATAAGTTTTCATCATGAGCTGACATAGGTTAAAGAACCACTGGAAAACCTAGGAGTGCTGGATAGCTGTTTCGTCCTAGTCTGAAACTCTTCATCAGTTAGCACCACCGGGATCTTCTGACTACAAGGTGAACTCGTAGACCATTAAGCTACTGGGACCCGATCCAATGGCCAGCTCAAGAACCCCAACTTATGGTATGGCACGACCACTATCGAATGTCATCGGTTAATATTTGTCCTCACATTCGACCTGCTATACCCTATAGGTCAACATATCCCACAGTAGTTGCCTAGGCTCTAGTAGGAAGCCTTCACACTGTCGTGAACTGGTAGAAGTTGGAATTCATGAGCTGGCCATTGGATCGGGTTCCAGTGCCTGAATGGTCTACGAGTTCACCTCGTAACCGGAAGGTCCTGGACTTGAACCTCAGTGGGTGAGTACTGACGAAGAGTCCAGACTAGGACCAAACAGCTGTCTAATACTCCTAGGCTTTCCAATAGTTTTCTAACCGATGTCAGTTGGTGATGAAATTCTGTAACCAATCAAATCGTATCCCTACAAACTAACACTTGAGTAAGTTTTCACTTGGTTAATTCTTTTCACACGTCTCAATATCATTTTCATATGTGTTGATTTCAACTTTTTGTACTATTGAATGGTGTAGAAGGTTAAATTTTTGTGACGTTTAGAGTTATTGCTTTCGATTATCAAGTGATTAAAGCAAATTAAGTTACTGCATCACTTACAGAAAAATGATCAAACCACGTGATTTTTAGAGCAGCATTTATATCTCTATATAGTATGTGAGTAAAAGATATACTATCACGCCTCCTATATCGCAATAGTTAAGCATGTTTGTATTTAAATTCTGAAGTATGAAAAATAAGTAGACGAAACAGTCACAGCTTCTTGAGATTTTAACGACATTTCCGCTAAACTATTCACCCTCTTATTTAGTTTATGAATAAGTAGGATTAACACACGCATATCTTAAAACACAAAATAATTGGCCTGATAAATTCACGATAATGACTCAAAGTTATCAGCATTAAAAACAACAAAAAACACAGCTTACCTCATCCTGAAGTTTATCACCTCCATCTGGTTGTGTTGAATCAGTAGGAAGTTCACTTTGACACTTAGTTTCGCCTGAAGTATTTGTATTTAGTTCAGGGAAATCATCATCTTGCCAAGCATCTAGTTCAACTTCTGTAGTATCACTTATTTCGCCGGAAATACCCGCCGTTGAAACTGGTACTGACAGACTCATATTATTAGTCTGGAAACAAATAGGGGGAAAGAGTATACTGTTCAGTTATGCTTACTGATGCAAACATATAATTTACAAAAATAGATGTTTAGGCATCTTTATGCAGAATAATGAAAAGACAGTTGCAGCGAAGAAAATTTCCTTTTCGACGAAGTCATCAACCAGGCTGTACATTCGTGTATTTATAATAAATGGGTGGGAAAGTTCCAGAATAATTTCCGGTCAATGGTCAAATTAATAAAATTACAATTAGGAATTAAATGCCATAATAAAGAGGGGGACGGATAAAACTCAAACAAAGTATCATCATAATTACTGAGAAGATTGACATATTGTGCAATTCAGGGTTAGAAATGTAGAAATAGTCGTAAGCTACCGGTGAAGTATGTTTTCCTCAGAGATTTGCAGAGGCGTTTACGAAGGATTTCTGCCTCAGTGTCACTTTTGAATTCTAGATTAAGCAGAAGTATGTTCTTCGGGACGGACTGAACTTGTTGAGAAGTTTTCTTAGATTTAACATTCTTGTCTATGAACCTAGGCGGAAAACCACTTTTCATCAGGGTTCATCGGAGATTACGCAGTTCTTCATCAATCACTTCCTCACAGCATACCTTCCAAAGCCTCGAGGAAAGAGCGTATATAAATAAGGTTCCTCTTTCTGCTTAGGTGCACGAAGCTTTGAAAGTTGATGAATTGTCCATTCCATGTAGGCATCTTTATGCATGGAAATTGGTACGATTCATTCATCAATTAATTTTCCAGTCAACTACACGGTTAGTGTAGTGTGGAAATTACAGATATCACCTGACCGAAGAGAAGAATTGTGTTATGGCTTATGATCACGACACAAACGATATCGGCTGCAAAATTATAACTCACTACACCACTAGTGTTATGTTACAATTTTCAATTTGATATTTTTTTCTTACAGACTTATGCTGTTTGACAGCACTGTCTGTCTGTCTGGATTCAACATAGAACTTGGCACCGAAGTGCAGCAGTTCGAGTTGCCACCTTCCAAATAGCACACAGAGGTAGACAAGAAGATGAGTGAAGAGAATTTATAGAGTTTGACAAATATAAGAGTGAAACAGAATGGGTAATGGTAGAAAGGAATATGAAAGATTACAGAGATTGAATACATCTGCGCCATTGACAACGATTTTGAGCCATGTCACCTATTGTCTCCAGCCATTGATTCCTAGAGTCCCGAGGGCCCCAACCCGGGAGTCTGCATCTCCCTACCTGACTCAGTTTAACTGTCAAGGATTTCATGGATTGATGAGGCCATGTTTTTGTTTGGCCACCACTGGCTCTTTTCCAACCTGAACCTATATCAGCTAACAATGCCCGTCGGGGGAGGCGGTGGTTAGGCATGCGCACCACGTGACCTAGCCATCTTAGTCTATGTAACTTTATAACCTCGTCGATTGATTTTCCCTCTTTGCCCAACACTCTACGCCTAACGTCAACATTACTTATCTTGTGAAACCACCTAACGTGAGACAGAGATCGCAGACATCTATGATCGAAAGCAGTCAACCTTTTCATGTCTTCAACGCGTATTGGCCATGTTTCAGAGCCATAGACAAGGACGGAGCGAACTGATGAGCAGTACACACGTCCCTTGGTTGATAGCCGGATGTCACGCCTACGCCAGAGATGGTGTAAGTCAGCGAAAGCAGCTCGAGCTTTTCGGATCCGTGCTGAGATTTGACAGCACTGATACAATATCACAAATCGCATGCATACACGCACAACACAGAACATTCTATAAAACATTACATGTACAACATTAATGGAAGTCATCAATGGCTGACATTAGCTGTAGATAATTCTATTTTCTTTTTGTGAATAATATGGAAGTAAAGAGAAGCACTCAGCTAGCTGGACTAACTGCAGTATCGGGAAATTCTTGTCCCACTTGAAACTACTAAGGAAAGAAGGACCCAAATATTGTAATGAGGGCAAAAATGGCGACGTTATTCCATACGCTTTCGTCTCCTCCTCCTCCTCCTCCTCACACAGTCTCCACCGTATCATTCACAGTCCACAGCCCAACTCGTCATTTCTCATATAATTTCCACTCAAGGGCCTGGAACATGATGTCACTCAGAAGTTTCCGCAGACTGTGTCTTATCCATCTCCTACTTCATATTAGAGTCAGGTAGCGGGCTTCGATTGGTTCGTTGTCAGAGTGTCTCATCGCTAATAATTTCTCGATGGTCATCCGATCTTCAGTATCGAGGCAGCTGTTGGTGAAGTATTACAACACACTGTTGGAAGTGCTTTTGCTGAAGCAAGCGCTAAGTCTCTGAATTATGATAGAAACACTGACTGACTTGACATTGTTGAAAAGCTTAATCTTGTTCCCTATGCCAAGTGCAATACATTACCATACTGATTTAAGGTTAATGAAGGTTAGCTCCATTATGGATAAGATTTTATTTTGATTAATCACAGTGTTATACAGTAATATTAACTGATGACGTTAGACAAACAGAAGGTGTAGCAATGGGATCACCAATATCCCCTATCATAGCAGACATATTTAGGGATAGCTGGGAAAATATGGCTCTTAATACATTTAATCCTACTTCAAAAATATGGTGGAGATATGTGGATGACACTTTCACAGAGTTAAAAACAGAACATATCTCTGGCTTCTTGAGACATATAAACTCACAGGTAGAGGGAATAAAATTCGCATTTGAGTCGGAAAATGAACAAGGAGAATTAGCTATGTCAGATTGTAAAATAAAACGAATAGAAGAAGGTAAACCACACACTAGCGTTTATAAAAAACAACGCATTCCGCTAACAGATATTTAGACTTCAATTCATCTCATCCGTTAAATGTTAAGGCAGGCCTAGTGAAGTGTCTAACAAACCGAGCAATAGTACTAAGTAGCACAAAAAAGACCTAAATGATGAAATAAAACGGATAGAAGAGGCGTTGGTGTTAAATAACTATCCTATAAAATTCATTAGGAAGATCGAAAAAGGCCAAAAGCAAAATAAAAATAATTGTGAAACTAGTAGTGATAACATAAATAAGAGAGAATATTAGTCATCTACGGTTATACCATATAAGTAGGGGACATCTGAAACCCTATGTAGGATTCTTAATAAAGCAGGAATTAGGGTGACATTCAAACCTACAAACTCACTCAGGGACGAGCTCAGTAGGCTAAAAGACCCGGTGGAGCCAATTAAACAAAATAATATAATTTACAAAATACCCTGAGAGGTCAAACTAGTAGATAGGGGGTAATGAGATTGTTGGAACATAAGAATGTAGCTGAGGTAAGAATAGTTGACCGCGAGAAGATAAGTAATTTAGAAGAAAGCTCAGCAATTTCACTGCATGCAATAACACACAACCGCACAATAGGGTGGGAGAGGGTTAAAGTTCCAAAAAGTAATATAGGTAGGTGGAAAGAGAGGTTGATTACTGAATCCTTATTCATCGAGTCTACACATAACACATGCAACAGAAATGACTTAATGCAAATACCAGAAATACGGAAGATATTATTACCGCCAGTCAGATCAGAGGAGGATAATAAATAATCTTAAAATTCTATTTCAATTCACGTACATCATAACATTCTAACAAGTTACTTATTATGACTACAAAAACACTCGTCTTATTTGTAATCCGATTGTAACTGGTCAATAACACTCATATCATTATTTCTGAATGTACATTATCCCATATTGATTTTTATTTAGATATCTAGTCAATTGCATTCATGTATATAAATGAAGGAAAAAAGTTGTGTGAGTAACTTGATATGATTATGAGCAATAATTTGTGGTCGAAACGTGGTCGCATCAGTTAATATTACTGTATAAAACTGTGTGATTTATCAAAATAAAATCTTATCCATAATGGAGTTATACTCTACCACAATGCCCAAGTTTTATACTTGCATCACTAATGAAGATTAGTTGCTTTTCCAAACATGTTTTTAACGTCCTCATCCGGCGGCTGTAGTTGAAACGATACTGTCTAGATCATTGAAAGAAGTAACTTTTTTTCAACTGCCTCCCGTTGCTGGTGATAAGTGTCTGTTGTTATTGGTTAGGTATCTTCATCACCTGTTTGTTTGTTTGTTTAATGTTCACTTGAATTCCTGTTGAAAGCTACGCGTTTATTGGATGTGCTAGTGGTTATAGTTTTTGCAAACATCAGGGCTATCATCAGATAATATTTTACAAGAATATTTAACAACAACAAAAAATGTGGAAAAAGGCTAGAAAAAAGAGAACTAACCTCATTAAGACTTTCTAAAGTGCGTGGGCAAGATGAATGCTGTAACCAAATAAAATGAATGCACAAATTAAATGACGTGTATGCACAACATGAAAAATTTTTGAAGGATACATATAAATAAAAGAAACTCTACTGCTTCTTATAAAACACTAAGTTTCTTATATCGAACAATGTAAGCTTTTCCAATAACTTACGTTGAAAACGGACTACAGGCTTTATTTACTAGAAAACAATATAAAAAGGACGTTATTTTCAATGCCATCTAACAGTACCAAACACTACAAACCAACACTTGAATATCAATGAGATGCTCAACTAGCGACTCGCCCTATTCAAGTAGGTAGTTACCTGGGGTTCTAGTAGGAAGTCGTGACCAGTAGGGTGGAGCAGGTCGGTGTGACGATAGATACTCACCGAGGACATTGGCTAGCGGTTGCGCTATGTCGTGAATTGGCAGAAGTTGGAATTCATAGGCCATTGGATCGGGTCCCAGTGGCTTAATGGTATACGATCTCGCCTTGTAACCAGAAGGTCCTGGGTTCGAATCCCAGTGGGTGCGCACTGTTGAAGAGTTCCAAACTACGACGAAACAGCTGTCCATTATTCCCAAGTTTTCCAATGGTTCTCTAACTGATATCAGCTGATGATGAAATTCTGTAACTTAAGTATAACTTAGAAATTCAAGAGAAATACAGATGATGAGATTCATCACGGTATGTGCATTGGACATTAGTTCAACAGAAACATTTTTTTCTACCTCCATGACTTACGTACTCCATGTACATTTAAGTTCCTTAAAACACTTCAGATATTACATTTTTGCTAACATCTATGATTAAACCAATTAACTAGTTTTTATGGGGTCATTTTAAAACATTAAACAAGTGAGATATTGTCAAAATGTTATTTGGTGGTTGTTGACTAGCAGTGGAATCTAGGATGCCAATTTGGGATACATCACCTGGATGCACTTGTGATCCACAATGAGTGATTGTGTTTCCATTGGGATTCGAACCCAGCACTCACATTCCAAACGTCAAAGCCTTACCCTACTAGGCCACTACGTCCCCCGTTAGTCATCATTCACCAAATAACATTATGTTAATCCTCAAACATTGGAACCAACAAGTCATCAGGGACCGATCATTTAGGTTCAATGAAATTAGTAAGTGAGAAATAAAAAAATTACTGATATAAATTAACAAAATGTGTTTGAAATATTTATTAGCTTAACTGTCATAGTAACAAAAATGTAAATCAACCGACAGCTTCATTCACGAGGAAATTTTAATGCAAAAAGACTGAGAGTTCATAAAGTATTTGTACGGAATCGTTATGCTTAGTCATTTGGCCTTGCTAGCATTCTGTATAGCATTTACAAAATGTTATTCAAGCATAAAACTGGATTGCATGTTTTATTCATTGGATGCAACTGATTAGCAATGGGGGCATCGTTTTCATAGTTGTCGGTGGTCAAAACAGGTTTAGAATCGGGGTTTTCCAGCCCCCAGCTCCTAAATAGACTAGCGTGTCTACCAGTCTGGTTGTAAACACCAGACATTCGAATTCGCTATTCCACTTTTGGGGCGAACACCCCGTTGCGTGAAGGGAGTAAATAGGATTTACCTGGCAGAGGCTATGAATGCTCGGCCGTATGACAGTATTTCCAGAGGAAGACCCAAGTCTACTCACTCTCGGCTGTACCAGGTCGTTTATGGAGGCGTATAACAAGATATATTCCATCATTAATATATATATATATATATATATATATATATATATATATATATATATATATATATATATATCAACTGGAGGAGTAATAAAAATCAACGCGCACTGGACAGATAATTGATCAGAGTTTGAAGATCAGTTGTATCCATAAAATTTAGTATAACCAGTAATGATATTTAAATGCCATCGTCTCTATAATGCAAAAAGTAAAGTTGCGTGCCGTAAGTCAGTTGATCTTAATTCAATGACAAAATGATGATGCATACGCTTTGAAACCTTTAAGTACTGAGCTCGATTCTTAAAATGGCTGTGGGTCACCAACGATTAAATTTTCACAATAAAACGGAACGAAACAACTGTTCGCCTCCTTTTTCCTTTTCACGTTTCAATAAGTGTTATCTATACATCACAAAATTATAAATTTGTACTAAATATAACTGAACTCATTTCCCGAAACAAGTCTCATATTATTGCAAGGTAGGAGCCACACTTGTATAGTGTGAGGGTTGACGATGCTATCCAATGGCACAGGCTGAATTAGGTGGAACTGGATTCGAACCCAGGACCCAACCAGATGAAAGTTGAAGGCATAAATCAATCCAGTCAGCCAATAAACAATATTTGATCGATGATTTCAAAATAAGCACAGTTTTATTGATTGTGGTATTATATAAGTACATTAGACTTACCTTAGATACACAACTTTTAGTGATATATTCATGACGGGATTTGATAGTTCCTTTAAAAAGTCTTAATTTTTCAAGTATATCTCCGATACTATCGAAATCAGAGTGTGAAAATATTATCGGTTGTGATAGGGGGGCTGTATCAGAGGATAACAACGACGGAGATTCAGTTTTATGACGATTGACAACATCGAGTATTGCTTGATCATAAATATTCATTTCATCTGCTAATTGACTGATTAATTCGCTCAATTCAATCGATTTGTTAAAATCTTCTGAAATGATAGATGATTGTTTCTGAGGCAGTTGTCCACCACTGTGGAGTAGTTCACTTTCACTGGGTATATCATAACTTGTTGTTGTTGTGGTGGTGGTGATAGCAGAATTTAAAACATCATTTGGAAGATAAGAATTTGTATTGTTATCCGATGAAGGGAGTTGTGTTTCAACGGTAAGTGATGAGATCTGAGCAGCTGTTGTTTCATACTCTGACTCAGTTTGTACTTCTGTAGTCATAAATTCAATAAACGATTCAGTTTGAACACTACAAATGAGGAAAATGATGAATAGGAATAAGTTGTTTTATGCTGTACAAAATTCTCAGGTTTGGCAAATGGTAAACTCTTTTTATATTTTAACAGAGAGAAAAATCAATGTGAATATATGTCACTACTGTTGGTATTAGATGGTTGGAGGCGATCGGCCATAGGAAGTCCTGTCTAGACCTAAGTTTCATGTTAGTTAGAACTCACTAGTCAGCAAGGTGTATCTGCAACCAACTTAAAGGAACTTATGTCCCTTCTGAGATTCGAAACCACGTCACCCAGTACTGCAGTCAGAGACGTTACCACTGACCTATTCAAGCTTGTGATTGACCTCCTGTAGGACTGTATTGGATACTTTTGACTGGACACTAGTCAGTAACTAGTGTATTGTGTGTGTGTGTGTGTCTAGTCCTACCTTTGGCGCAAAGTGAATTCTATCAGTCAAGTTTGCAATGGGACTACCATTCTAAGAGGCTCGCCATCACAGTGGACTGTAAATTGTTGGTATTAAATGGTCGAAGCCAATTGCGAGCCTGAATAGCTTAGTGGTAATGTCCCTGACTGCAACAGTGAGGGGGATGCGAGTTCGGATCTCAGAAGGGACATGAGTTCCTTCAAGGTTGCAGATGCGCCTTGCTGACTGTTGAGTGCCAACTAGCACGAAACCTAAGTCCAACGCTTCCTGTAGTCGATTGGCTCCAACTATCCAGTACCAACAATTCACAATGCACCGTGATGGTAAGCCACCTGGTAGCATGGTAGCCACATTGCAAGCTTGACTGATAGAATTCAGTTTGCACCAAAGGTAGGACTAGACACAGACACACACACACAAAACACTAGTTACTGACTAGTGTCCAATCAAAAATATGTCAATACTCTCGACACATCACTGTTTATCATCCATTAAAATATAAAGATGTTTGAATAGAACAACAACAGTGGTTTGTGCAGAATACTATGGTACCATCATTGCTTATTTCGTTGGCTTCTCATCACCTGCTGCTGACAGCCTAGATAAATTATTACTATTAAGTTCATGTACAGAAAAGTTTTAACACACTTTCAAACTTTACATGATGTCAGTTGACCGGAGGTTCCGAACTTAGTGGACAGTGTTCAAAAAATTACGCTTATATAGTTTTTACACAGGCAGTTCTAGTTTAAACAAAGTAAATGTATGTATACAATGGTAAAGGAGTTCCATTGGGAGAACAGAAAGAATAGTGCACTTCCGATTTACTTGACATGTACGGAAAAGCCTACACATCAAGGAGACAAATGCTTACAATGGTGTCATTACCAGACATCTCCTTGATACGGGTCATGAGGTGGAAATCGCAAATTCCTTTAAAATTATCAATAGACAAATAAAGCTCAATTCTCCTCAAGTTTGCCGAAGCAATCTCTATCAAATTCCGGAAATCCGATTTGTGTGTTCAGAAAGAAGCAGTGATCAGTCTTTCCTTGCCCGGCTTGGTAACTCAATGTCTTTATTCTTGCTTTCACTCGATTACGCAGTCTTAGGCTTTAACCTCACCCCACTTTGACATAGTGTATTTTTGATTGCCTCTTGTTTCTATGATTTCAGTTGAACTCAGTAGATTATCACCCAATTTATTAGTCACTCATCATATTACGTATCTCTCGTCTTCAATACGTAACTCCTTTACCATTGTATACATACATTTATTTTGTTTAAACTTGAACTGCCTGTGTAAAAACTATATAAGCGTAATTTTTGTGAACTGTCCACTAAGTTCAGAATATCCTAAGTTCGGAACCTCCGGTCAACTGATATCATGTAAAGTTTGAAAGTGTGTTAAAACTTTTCTGTACATGAACTTAATAGTAATAATTTATCTAGGCTGTCAGCAGCAGGTGATGAGAAGCCAACGAAATAAGCAATGATGGTACCATATTATTTGCACAAACTGCTGTTGTTCTTGCTTTATTTAAATTCATCAGAGGGAATAAATGTATACATTTTCTGGAAAATATAAAGATAACTGTTATATGCATAATGTAATGACTGATTGGGTGACTGACTGACTTCAACATGGAACAGAAGTGCACCAATTCGAGTTACTACACTCTGTGTAGCATACAAACGAAGATAAAAGAAATTCCGAAGAAAGAAAGTAAGCAGAAATTTGAGGGAGGACAACAGGGACACTGGAAAGCAACAAGGTCCAATGGATATGGATGATCAGAAAGAGTAAATGGATCTACACCAGCCATTGGAAAAGATTTCCAAGCCACATCAACAGTTGCTTCCAGGCACTGATTTTTAGAATCCCGAGAACTCCACAACGAGATGATCTGCACCTCCATATGTGGCTCAAACTACCAAAGATTTCATGGACTGATACCACTAATAGCTCTTTTTCACTTTGATCTTATGTTAACTAACATTGCTCGTTGAGGAAGGTGATGGTTAGGCATTGGGGCTAATACCCCTTTTATTTCTTTACGTTCCGAGTGCAACATAGAGCTCCAAGCTGAGTTCTGAAGTTTCGGTAGCCGTGGTGTTTTACTTTTACGTGATGGGATTGCTAGCTTCTTGCTCAATCTTCCCTCTTTATCAGTCTTGCTGCTGGCTTAGCTAGAGTGCGTCAACCAGGGATCCAACCCCGGACTACATGCGTGGTTGGCGAGCATTCTACCGCTGTGCAGGGCTAATGCTAATAAATGAAGTGAAATAAATACTCTCACATAGAATCTACTATACGTCTGAGAAAAAAACTACTGAAACAAATGGACTTACAATGCTGAACAACCTGACCGGTTTGGAACTTCATCAGTAAATGCGTCTGCAAAAAAGGAAAAACAGTCCCAGTAAAGATTATAAAACCTTCATTTTTATACAGTGAAATTTATAATGACGATAATAATTACAATGATGACTTTGTAGAAAATGTAGTTCATCTATACGATACAAAGGCCAACACTAATATACTTTTACATAGAGACAAGGTGTAGAATTATAGCCCATTGGAAAACTAACAAATTAGATGGAATTAATCAGTAGGCGTGTTCTTGAACATGGTTCAAACTATCCCACTGTTGATAAGCAAAATAATGATATACTCATTAAAGACTGCCGCGACCGTTGTGTGGCGGTTATCATGGCTGCCTTTCAAGCAGTCAATCCGGGTTCGATTCCTGGCGGTCGCAAGAGGTTTGTGCCTCGGTGGCACAGCGGTAGAACGCCCGCCGATCCCTGGCCAACATACTCCTTTACCTCGCCAAACTACTAATAATGCTGGTAAAGAGGGCAGGTTGGGCATGAGGTTAGTAACCCCATCCCGTAAAAACGAACACCACTGATACCAAAACTTCAAGCCTCTAGTTTCAAGCTCTATGTTCGCCTGGGAACGTAAAGGAATAAAAAGAGCATTAAAGACTACTTCGATATTACATCAAAGCCTAACGTTATTAAGTGGATGGTAACTAGCAGTGGAATCCAGGATGCGCATTTCGTCATATACTGGACTCATCATCTGGATGTTCTGCAATTCTCATTGTGACCCGAACCAAGCACCCATTGTTTCCAACGTCAAGGCGTTACTCAGCAGGCGACTTAGTTCACATAACCAGAAATTCACTTGAATTTTACAGGGGTTGGTCATTAGACCGATAATCAATAATTAGATCAATTAGTTGGGAGTGGTGATTTCACTCCAACAAATAACAACCGAGACCTGTTGTACGGTAGGTAGCTCTGGCGGCCCAGCGACCTCATGTCCTACCTTGCCTCTTTACCAGACTTGAAATGCGTTATCTGGGAATCAACCACCTGAATGACTGGTGAGAATTCCACCCTTGGACCACTGACCTACCCAATGTACTTATAGAATACTGATGTGGAGTCAGTCATTAGAAGCCCTATATAAAATACTAAGTACAAATTAATAAGAAGTTAAAATTAACCATTAAAACCCCATTGTGCTTGATCGTATAAAGTAGAAATTACCTTTGGTTTCAACTTGCTCATTAGCTTGTGTAGATGAATTCTTCAGCTGGTTACATTCAGTCTAGAAAAAAGATAACATTAAATCAGTAGTGTAGGAAAAGCAAAGGCTCTAATACTATTCAATATGAGAGACTTTTATGTCTACCACAACTCAGCGACGAATTATACTATAACATAAACTCGTGAAGCTAATATTGGCTCATTGGCTACACGCACAGTTTTCAGCCATACCAATAGTTTACAGGTTCGAGTCCCACTCTGTTTACTTTAGCCTAGGCAACTGAGCAGTATCATCAGCTCTCGCATGATAAATGTAGCTCTTAACCTGGAAGTCTGTTCCAGGTGGCTGAGTTCAAGCAAAAGTGAAGTTATTAATCAACAAAGTATTTGAAATAAACTCAAAAAACCTTATTTGAAGTCATTAAAAGTCTATAAAAACGACTTTACATGATTTTCATGTAACCTTTCCGCTGGATCTTTTATCTTCTCTTAACATTATGTTTCTATCCTGACACTTTTTTATATGTGCACTTTTAAAATATGCCAACTTGAACCGATGAAATTATGGGTCAAATTTAGTGTCAAACTGCTTGTCTTGATTATTCTACAATATTTCCTTTGAAAACGTCTTTTTCTTTAGTGCCACTGAAAACTGATCCGTGCCGCTAAGCGTAGAATTCTTTCTGGCAACCACTAATTTATGAATACTCCGGTGAAGGTCATGCAACTCAAGTTCAACACTAATAATTAGCTACTGATGTGGACAGTGTCACCCAAAAGATATTAATTAAAATAAACATAGTAATTCTCGATAAATCTGTATCTGAAATCATTTCCAATGGATGCTTTTTTTTAAATTTACTATAATTGATATTCTAACGCAGACAAAAAATAACAATTGATGTCATTCAATCAGTAGGTGAGTTATGCCTACGAAAACCACAGTAAATTAGAGTTTGCACTTAGGTTTTTTATTTTATTTAACTAAAACATAAACTTGGCATATTACTGGGGCTTACGGATCGCATAGTTTGCACGAAGCCTGGATGCTGCTCGGGTGCCAAGAATGAAGCAGGTGGTTGTCCAAGGGACCTTTGACTTTAAATCTGATCCACAAGGCAGTAGAGCAGCATCAGGAGCTACGTACCCATAGTTCATGGTGATCAAAACAGTTTCATATGTTATTCGGTCCTTTCAGAGGATTCTGGAGACCATCTTCACCATAGGTTTGGAGTCAGGGTCTTCCAGTTCCCCTAGATAGATAAACATGTCCACGAGCCCGTGTTAAGTTCCAGACATTCGCATTCACTTTTGTGAGGAACGCCTCTGCCATATGAAGGCAGTGAATAGCACTTATCTGGCAGAGACAATGAACACGTGGTCACAAGACAGCATTTCGAGAAGAAGACCGAAATCTACAAAAACATCGCCCGAACTAGGTCGTTTATAGGGGCTAGAATATGCAAAATACACTAAGTATAAAACACTTGTTAGGAACAAAGTACATATAAAACATTAAATACCAATCAGTAGATAAGAAATAACCAACTTACTTGCAAAGAGACTTCACAACAAACTGGTTTGCAAATTTGCACCGGATCACTCGATTCTACCGGGGAAGCTGATATAAGAATTATAAAGAAACAAATTTTACTCATAGAATATGTCTAGATATGTAATTCAGAGATTATGAATGGGTTCATTCATTAGACTATGAGACACATTGGTTTGCCTGAGGGCTTATGATAAAACTTGATTTACTCGGTGAAGATTGAGAATGAAATCAAAACATCAATGGTGACGGGATTAAAAACAGCAACACGGCGTCCTACTTCGTAAGCCACAGGATACAGATGCTAACTAGACAGTTGCTTCGTTACAGTCTTGAGTTATAATCCAGGTTTTAATCACCCGTTCAATCACCACACAATTGTAGTAATATAGAACCATGCAATTATGTTTGCTTTCGTGAATGCCATTTATGGTGTATCAAGGAGATCACATATTGTCATCTGAGTAATCTTGGTTTCTAAAGGATACTGCGGAGAAATTTCAGCCCCAACTAAGGGAATTACCAGTCACGAATTAATTCGCTTATTGCGAACCTGATTTAATGGATTACCCGTTGGCCAGAGTAGCTAGCCAGAATTCGAAAGGTTTGAGCTTTTTCGGCTCTCTACGCTGAGTCGATCTAGGCAAACTACTGATGAGTCTAACCCCAAACGAGCAAAACTGCCGTCCAGTGTTCAGATCATTTTCACTAGTTAGCAAGCACCAACTACTCATATGAATCAATCAGTGGTATATAGTATAAAGCATCATGCAAACCAAAGTTATTTCACACAACATCATCAACAGTTAACAAAATGATTTCTCAGTTAGAATAAGAAAGAGGGAGTTTGAATTCAAGACATATACCGTGGAAGTCAAATACCGAAGTAAATCAACTACATTTCCGGAAGAGAAATCACTACATAATAAAATAACAAAGGAGCAAGTTACAGGATTTCATCATCAGCTGATATCAGTTAGAGAACCATTGGAAAACTTGGGAATAATGGACAGCTGTTTCGTCGTAATTTGGAACTCTTCAACAGTGCGCACCCACTGGGATTCGAACCCAGGACCTTCTGGTTACAAGGCGAGATTGTATACCACTAAGCCACTGGGACCCTATCCAATGGCCTATGACTTCCAACTTCTGCCAATTCACGACATAGCGCAACCGCTAGCCAATGTCCTCGGTGAGTATCTATCCTCACACCGACCTGCTTCACCCTACTGGTCACAACTTCCTACTAGAACCCCAGGTCACTACCTACCTGAATAGGCCAGTCGCCAGTGAGCATCTCATTGATATTCAAGTACTGGTTTGTAGAGATTTGATTGATTGGTTACAGGATTTCATCATGAGCTGACATTGGTTAGAGAATCATTGGAACCATGGGAAGAGTTCCAAACTAGGACGAAACAGCTGTCCAGTACTCCCAGGTTTACCAATGGTTCCCTAACCAATGTCAGCTCATGATGAAATCCTGTAACCAATCAACTAAATCCCTACAAACCAATACTTGAAAGGAGCAAGTTATTTGATAATTTCTCAAAAGGCAACAAAATCAGTTACTATGCATACACATTTTACGGTACTGAAATGATGATACCTAAGAGCCAGACACAAACGTGTGCCTCTCACAATAAGTCAAACCAAGGAATCAGTTTTATATACTACGAATAAAAATTCACTAATATTGGTCAATAAACTCTTGTTACAGTCTTCTTAGCCAACATGTCACCGGGTTGGAACTCTGCTTCATTTACGGAGATTTAGAAAGCTAGTCCTTAAATAATAACTGTGACTCACCGTAAGTATGTGGATACACATGAGGTTGTTAAATAACATTCCATTTTTTTATTTTAAATAAAATTCTCGGTGATAACTGCTGAGAACTGAAGTAATATCGACGGTTTGCAGATGAATGTGGATCGAAAGAAATATACTAAAACTGTGTTCACCAGCTAAACTAAACATGAAAAGAATCTTAGCTAATCTTGTACACGTGTGGTCATTATTTTATGGGAAGTATATTATCCTTTCGGTTATTAAAACGAACAGTTAGTTCTGATTGTAGGAAAAGACTGATTCTTATAAAAATGAGCAATCACTTACAGCTTCTATGCAACAGATAATAGTAGCTTAATTGCGAATACAACCCAATCTTACTTGAGCTGTGACTCATTGGTCCAGGAGTTCAACTTTCAACCATTGGTTCACAGTTTAGAACCCTGCTCTACCAACCGAGGTTCGACGGGTCATATAGTATTACAAGCCTGCACATAATAGATGTGATTCGTTGCTAACAGCATAGAATTGCGGGTGGTTTATGAATAACAGACCATTGCTTTTTTACAAACCATGGGAAAAGTAAGTACAACAAATAAAACACGACACACGGTTATTGAAGGATTGTTTCTCAACCGTTTAAAGTATAATAAATCCGCAAAACAGCATATAATATTGTTCTCATTGAGTGACAAATCCGACAATAAACTGAAACTCACGCGACTTCTTTTTCTTCTTTTTACCTGGATGTGTTTTTTTAAGACTTTCGCAGACATCTTGATCCAGAAGATCAACAATTTCAGTGGAAACTGATTGATCGATCTTTTGAATGTTGATGTTTTCAAACGTATTATTATCATCTCGGCATCTATCGCTGGTCTGACAACTTTCATAGGCTTCAACTTGACTTTGAAGTTTAAACACTTCTGCTTCAGTTTCCTTTAATTGTTCCATTAAGTTTGACAAATGATCTGAATGAGTTTCTTGAACAGCAGCTAATTCTGTCCTCCGGTTTTCTTCTGACTCACTTAGTTGTTTCTTTAATTGCTTTTTTACAAATAGTTTCCAGTAAAAAGACATTTTTAAAAATAATCAGGTGAATAGCTAAAAATATAATTCTTTAAAATGATACTAAACAATGAGAGAAAAATAGTAGGACATTGAGTAAGTACAAGGTGTAATCATGACAATATTTGACAGAAAACCTATAATCGCCATATTCTGGTTGAAACTTGTCATTAGGAGGTGTTCGCTCAAATAAATTAGATTATATGTGATATATCATACAATCATTTTATATGTATTCATTTAAAATAAACAATAAAACTCTCCTTGTGGCTTACTTATTTTCACGAGAAGGTCACTTTGAAAAGCTGACACTGAGGCATCATTCAAGGTCACTTCAAGACGGAGTCATGTAAATACGATCAGAAATTTTTGATTTTTTTTAATTTTTGATTTACAGCTTGATTCCACACTGTATTTTTGGTACAAGTATGGAATTTTCAGCATGGATATCGGTAGCCAAAATTTTGCAGGCCGACCATAGATATCAGGTGTGCGCCGGCGTGGGCTCGAACCCCGGACCATGTGCATGGTCGGCGAGAGTCCTAACCACTGTGCCACCGACGCACAAAGAGAAAGCGCGTGAACATCAGCGAGCTCCGGAACTCGATACAGCAAGACAAGCAAACAAAGACACCAGCACCAAGAAGACCGAACCGACTTCAGTCGAAAGTATTTGACGGGGTGATAAGTGTGGTGGTGTGATATAGACAATGGTTTCTAACGGAACATTATTCTCAAAGTTTAATACTGCATTAGCAACAGAATAATATATGTACTTGTACATTCCCATTCATGTGGTTTAATGTAAACAAAAGTCACACGCTCAGTGATTGGTTAAAGAATATAGACTGAATAGATGTATATAGGTGTTGGATCACTTGAAAATATACCTTGACTCCCCCCGTGTCTTGCCTTCTGCTGTTACAATACTTTTTCTAAACGCAACAGTAAACACGCTTTCGGCAACGTGAATATATCTAGATTTATAGACAACAACTCGGTCACATTGGCTTTTTATCACAATAAAGATAAGTAATTTCTTCTCCAAGAATAAATTAAAATACGAAGAAGATTCAAATGTTTGCGTGGCATATACATTAGCACTTGGCACCTAACACACTTAGTCTGGCTGTTGACTGGTTGAATTTCAACACAGCACTTAGCTTTTACTCATATTCTAGAGGTTTTCTCATGCCTAAATTTCGACTTCTGACATTCGCCTGGATTTCACTTTGGAGTAGCAATGAAGACAGTGGCTCCTTGACTGAGGCAAGTAGATGTTTTCAAAAAAACCAAACGTCGTGGAGCTAGGAGCCCGTTTGCAAGTGTATAAATTGAGCTGTAAGTATTTATTTATATTTATATCACAACTTAGTATTCCTGGATGAAAAGATTAAAATTTTTCGTTTGGTGAGAATCATCAGCTAGACAGACAACACAAGCTAAATTCCTACGCAGACGACAGTCAACTTAGAACTTGGACTGTTAAAAAATTCTGTCATTATATTTCATATAATTTCTCTTGTTTACTCTGTTTTAATTTATTAAAATATGACCTTAAATGGTGTCTTCTACTCTTGCGACAATTTAAAATGCTTACAACCTGTCGATTTAAAAAAACTGAGAAAAAAACATAATTGCGAGTGGCAACGTATCGTAATACATGAGATAACTGTTAATGAGTTATGTCCTTGGGTCTCAGAATGTACTTCTGAACATTTTATAATTGGCTTTTAACGAAATATGGTGAAATTCTTGAAAGACACAAAGAACAAACATTATAATGAATTGGTTTGCGCTTCAGGTCAGACAGCTTTGTGTCACGCGATCTGCTGTCAATTAATATTTTAATGTTGGTTTGTAGGGATTTGATTGGTTGCAGGATTTCATCATGAGCTGACATTGGTTAGAGAACCATTGGAAAACCTGGGAGTACTGGACAGCTGTTCCGTCCTAGTTTGGGACTTTTCATCAGTACGCACCCACCGGGATTCGAACCCAGGACCATCTGGTTACAAAGCGAGCTTGTATACGATTAAGCCACTGGGACCCGATCCAATATTTTATTTAAAGATCCTGGACGAAGAGGAAATATCATGCAATGAACTCCTTTGAAAATCCTGTGTCTTAAATAAATACTCCCAAAAATAAAGCTATTACTACTACCGTTATTTTTAAATTTTAGAGGCTTACTTTTTTAGCCAACCAGTCACTTAATACGCACAGTGCACTGTACTGTTAAATCATTTAATCAACAAAGATTACCTAGCTGTGACGATAAACAAGTGAGGTTCATTTTTTCTTCATAAGCAGTTCGATTCCCCTTTATACATAAGTAGCGCAAATTTTACTAAACTATTTAAATTACCACTTTTGGTTACAAGGCTAGCTTATAGACCACTAAGCCAATGGGACCCTTGTGTGTCGGTGGCACAGCGGTAGAATGCTCGCCAACCACGCCTCACGTGGTTCGGGGTTCGATCTCTGGCCACTGGACACACTCCTTTACCTCGCTAAACCAGTAATAAGAGAGATAAAGAGGAAAGATTGAGCATGAGGTTAGCAACCCCATCACGTAAAAGTAAAACACTACGGCCACCAATACTTCAAAGCTCTAGCCTGAAGCCCTATTTTTCACTCGGAATGTGAAGGAAAAATAAAAAAAATTTAATTACCTCGATTTGTTTCTCCAATTCGATATTTAACACCTGATGTGAAGGAGTACTAGTCATATTTCTTTCTTTCTGGATAAGTGGGATGTACAAAAAACAAAACAAAAAAGAAAATCTCATATCAGCTGACCAAGTTATTGTCAACACTATTAAAATTAATTAAACAAAAATCAAACCTTTATTTCATAAAATAAAAATGTTTTGCTCTATCACGTGAAATCTGAGGTTCCAGTAGCACACGTTATTTTCAGGACATAAAAAGGTTCACATGAAAAAAAAATAATACAGACAACATTTTGGAAGACAGAGGTAAGATTTGAACAGTGTTGCACGTTAATGTTTTTGACGTCATCCACCAATAAAATCTAAAGAACAAGCAGTTTTCAAATACTTTCAGACCTTTGTATTTCAGTAAGCTTTACAGCAGGTGCTGCCTGCAATTGTTGGTAAAAAAATTTCTTCTCAACAGAGTATGATATATTAGTTTGGTCTGACAGAAACATATATAATCCTATGTACACTGTTTCATCCCATAACAGAATAATCGTATTTATAATACAACTAAGTTTAAACGCAGAACTTGTACTTAAGTGCAGCGTTTCAAGTTACCATACTCCATGCAGCAGACAATGTAGATAAAAGAAAAGAAAAAAGATCCAAAAGGACTGTAACAAGCAAAAATGTGCAGGAGAAAGAATGGTAACATGGTGAAACACTAGGGTTTCATGGGTATAGGAAACCACAAGGAGTGAATGCATTTGTGCAATTGAGGTCGATTTTGAGTCATTTCACCAACAGTCTCCAGTCAACAGTTTTTAGCATGCAGGGTTTTGGTTTGATCACGCATAACTCTCTTCCAACGTAATCTTACGTCAGCTTACACTGCTCGTCGAGAAAGGCTATGAATAGGCATGCACAACACGCTTTCTAGCCGTCGCAATCGATGTAGCTTTACAACTTCATCGATTGATTTACCCTTCTTACTTAACATTATGTAATTTGATCTAATAAACAGTTATGCAGTATTATTTGTTTACTGATGACGTTTCGGATACAATATACAAAATATTATTAGCAACAATATCAAAGGATAGGAAGTAATGGGGAACTACTATGCATACAAAATATAAAAGTTAATGTGAGCACCTTAATAAGATTATGAGCAATAAATTGTGCTTGAAATATCACTAGTAAATAAAATAAGCTGTATCACTGAGTGTCAACAAATAAAACTGATCTATGAAATGTATGGAATTTTCAGCAAGTGATATCGGTAGCCCAAATTTTGCAAGCCAACCATTGATATCAGGTGTGCGTCGGCAGGGGATCGAACCCCGGACCATGTGCATGATCGGCGAGAGTCATAACCGTTATGCCACTGACGCACTTACAAAAATAAAAGCAGAGTGAAAATGAAGAGCCTGTATTTACTATATACGATTCGACAGTACAAAAAATGTTTCTGAAAGCAGTATTATTTTGATGGCATCCACACAACACTAGTGTTAAGTCAATTCTTTTATATGGGTCAGAAAATCGGTGTATCATGGAAAGCATTTCCAACAGCCCGCTGCGGAATTTTATCGAGAGTTGTCTTCGTTGGCTCCATACTGAAGATCAAAATAGCCAGAAAGGACTGACAACAAGAAACTCTGGGAGCGGACTGAACAACAACCTACTGCTTGACATATATGCCGAGGGGAATGGAGGCGGATCAGACACGCTGAGGAGACTGTCAGGTGACGTCACACACCAGGCTGTCGTTCGAGTAGAATCTGAATGGGAAATGACGAGTGGGGGGCGAGTGTGACATGGAGATCGTGTGAGGAGGAGATAAAACCTTATGGATAATCGTGGGGCCAGCTGAAGAGAATTGTATAGAACGGGACAAGGTGGAGATGTGTTGTCGAAGCTCTGTGTTCCATTTGGAACCCAAAAGAATAACAATAAGTCCACACAAGGAAATGGTTATGACGAACACAATGGCACACGTTAACTAAATATGGGCAAGTGATAATATGATTAGATCCAGTAGGGAATGGTCGTAAAATAGAGAAAAAACCATGATTGATGCAAGCCAACACGTAACAGCTTCCTTTACAATAGTGGTTGATACTACAATCAATTTGTTTTCTGTCCTAGAGCTCAACGCAAAATAGTTCTGCTACACCGAGTGGCATGCGTCGGTGGCTTAGTGGTAGAATGCTCGTCAACCATGCACGTGGTCTGGAGTTCGAATCTCAGTCGATGCACTCCTTTACCTCGCCAAGCCGGTAATAAGAGCGGTGAAGAGGGAAGGTTGGACAAGAAGCTACCAACCCTATCCCGTAAAAACAACACCAATGCTACCAACACTCAGAACGCAAAGGAATAAAGCCAAACACCAAGTGACAATTCATGCTAAACAAGGTGTCATTAAATGTTTTTGTCAAATAGGATTACATAGTGTGCAACTTTTAAATCAACCAAACCTGTTTCCAATAAGGAAATTCTGAGAGGCTGAAGACACTTACATACATGTATCCTACCTCATTAGGAAAAATGGGAATTATCATACACAATCGTTAAAATGTCTGATTGAACTCGAGTGGAATGCTCTGATTAACATTTTGTACTCTGGAATTCCTTAAATACACATGGTGAATCATAGCAATATTAAGAAATAATACAGGTGATTCATTGATATACTCGATAATGTAACTATGGGAAATACATCCAGACTAAAAAAGGTCAACAGTTTAAGTGACAGTAGGGCATCAATGTTTGACTTTTAAGTTTTCCAGAATTAAAATAATGAGCGAACAGAATCTTGAGAGAGAGATACGAAAAAATCGACACACTTAAGAGGAGAATCTAATCACATTCAGAATAAGGCGATATAATATAAATATTATCATTTGGTTTCGTTTATGGGATCCTACGGAAAACTTATCCAAAAATACTGCGGTTGAATATTGATTACACATCTTCATCTAACGCCTGAGAAATGCGTTATCTGGACAAACTGTAATCTGAGTAACTTGTACAAATTTCAGTGAATTTAACAATATATACACGTTTTCAATATTAGTACAATTTTAAACCCTTAGGGTAAAACAAAGACATTTTCAATTGTAATGTAGTAAAGAAATAATAATACATACATAAATACACATATACAAAGATACGCATAAGTCTTACCTTCTTTGCAAGTTTTTTCCATTTCGCTAGTTCAGCACGAAGCTGAACAACTTCATTTTTTAAGTCTTCCCATGTAGCTGTACCATCGGAGTGTGATTTAACTGACGGAGATGAGTGTTCTTCACTTACAAGATCTATAGAAGTTTAAAAAAGACTTTGTTCACCACTCCCTGAATAATGATACGCTGTGAATTCTACTAAAATTTACATTTTTAGCTAATGAACACGTAATTAAACCTTAATCATAATGTGAGATACTGGATTTAGCATTTCGTGCTAATGGTGATCCTTATTTAGTTTAATAAACTAGTAGGTTATGTTTCCTTGTTTCAGTCAGCATACTTATAGGGAATCTTATCATTTGTAACCACCGTGTTGCATAGCAATTACATGCACAACTCTATACCACGTTAGTAATGTTACGTGTTTATCTTCTAATTAAAAGATTTAGTGTGAATAAAACGCATGCAATGTGGTTTAGTGTAAGTATCAGTGATACCTTTAAGTATGAATCGATTTTGTGATACAGAATAACAGTATTCTCTGTTTATTTAAGAAGTCGAACTCACAAACAGTTAGCTCACTAGAAAAATCAGACAGATACTATGAACTTAAAACCTTACATTATCACTGATGAGTGACCTAAGTTCCCGCGCTTTATATTTAAATACTCCGTAGGGAATAAAACAGAAAGACAAAGAAACGCGCCATTCCACCTGCAGTTCCTACCAACAGTTTGCCGTGATTACATCAGTCGTAGTAGGGTAACATACACCTATCAACTACCAATGACAATTAAATATCATTGTGGCTTGATTCGAGTATCCTTCACTTTATTTCAAATTAAATCTACTTCCATGAGCTAGGCCTTTTGAGAGAGATGAAGAATAGATATGCGTAAGATATGTCGTAACAATCCTATGGGATGCAGGCATATAATTTTATCGAATGATTTAACTGGCGTACCAAAGAGTATATTGAACTTCCACTTTGATTACATAATGGTTCTCGTAAGTGTGCACAATGCTACGAAGAGAACGGTAGTTAACTACCTAAAGTTGTGCAGAATCCCTTTCCTCGGGTAACTAAGTTCGTAGCCACCTACTAAGACACCACGCTAATATGTGATACACTCGTCTTTCCATAGTCAAAAGGACAGTGTGACAGAGGTCGCGAAATTCGGCAAAAGTAAAATGAGCCTCAGTTATTAGAGCTGAAACCCGACTAACCAACAACCTACAAAGGCTGATGAGAACTTATAGGTGGAAGTAAGCCACGCAATTAACCACTTTACTCCCAGCAACCACGACCAATAAAAAATGTTTAAAGAAGCTCAGTGGTAAATAACTTAATCCATAAATCAAAGATCTAAAAGTTTTTTTTAATCTCCCGATTACATAATACAAAGAAACTTGGAGTGAGAACGAAAACCCAGACTTCAAAATAAATGTAATGGCGCTAAAAATTCAGCTACACATACAAACTTCAATACATAACTGGTATTATAAACTATGCTAATTATGGTTTCTGTCAGCCACTTCTTGTCATCGCGAAAAAAGATCTTTTGTATATTTATAATTTCGTACCGGTAGGTTGAACTCAGCTGAGAAAAAACCACGAAATAATAAGGAATAAGCTCATATTATCCTTGTACATTTGTCATTTTTGTAATAGAGGTTTTTTGTATTTCCCAATGAATGAAAAACAAAACGAGATTGTTTTTACTGACGTTTCGCCATTTAATGCTAATAGCTTTCTCAAAGTATTATTAAACCGGAATTTACAAAATCTCAGCATAATACTTTGAGAAAGCTATTAGCATTAAATAGCGAAACGTCAGTAAAAACAATCTCGTTTTGTTTTTCATTCATTGGGAAATACAAAAAACCTCTATCATGAATATCATATACCCAATGCCCAAATTTTTTCAAACCGTTAAAAGTGAACTTGGTTTGGATATATATAATTTGTCATTTTTGCTTCGTCCAAGTTTACTAATTGGAAAAATAGTACGCAATTTTTAAGGAAACTTGCTGAGTTGTCTTACTAAGAGAGTAAAGACAAATTAGTTACTCAACCTTTAAAGAAAGTCTTAATTTTGTTTATTATACAAACTTTTGTTATAACAATTACACTGGAGTAAAGACCAGTTTTTATCACAAGATTCTCTTAACTAACATAAACTCTATATATATATATATATATATCAACACTTCCGCTTGATGCAAAAAGGTTCACTCTTATTTGTTAGAAAAGAGTATTTCCAAGGAAGTTGCCAACATCTTGCCGGTTACAATAGCACCACAAACGTTTGGTCTTTCTGTCCCAAGTTAAAAGTAAGGGTAGGTATCACTCTGATATCATATCTTTATTTTGGTATGAATAACAAACTTGAAATAACTACGAAAGCATACGGTCTAGACCAGTCACGCCGACGAAATTTCCTTATTGTGACCATACACTTATCATCACAATGCAGGATAGCAAACAGCGTAAATAAATCAAAATTCTTTAGCTGACAAACAATAAATACAAATGCAGGATTACCTTTAAGTTGCACACCAGAGAAGTACTTTCCGAAAAAGAAAATTTAGTTCCTGAACTGAACATAAATGGCAGACCATTGAAAACTATCAAAAGAATCAAGATGATCCTTATTGATGGACAAATGACAAAAATAAGGACGAAATACGTTAACCTGGATACTTTCATGATACCAAATGATAGAACACGGAGTGCATTGGACATATGCAAGAGCACGTTTTTTTATTCTGTATTTAGGTGCTGACTGATGTCAACGTTAGGTAGTCAGATGAATATAAAACAAGTAACTTTAGTCAGAAAAACGTAGCAAAATGATTTTACTAGATAAAGAAACTAAACAATAAACAAATGAAGAGAGGTGCAGGAAGGAATTACTAACCAGGATACTGCCGCCGTCCAGAATTTGGTGCATCAGCGTCAATGTGACTACTGGCACTACTGACTGAAGCCTCTGGTTGACCCTCAGGTTCTCCACGCTCATTCGATACTTCGGATCGTAACTTGGCAATGATAGCCTAGATAATAAAAACCGATACGTAAACTGTTATCAGAGATAAAAACCACCAACTGTCCATCTAAACGACAAACTTGGTGCATTACGTACATCAAGGAAAGAATCATATAAAATGACAACAAAGTAAGAGAAAAGTTTAATCAACGAATAGCAAAAAACACATCAGCATTTTGCTGCTACATTCTGCTGAATAATTACTGTCTTCAGTTTTAAGCCCTCTTTAGTCAGTGAGTTCCATAATTTTAAACACCATTCAGGGAACCTTATAGCACCAGCACACACTAAATAAGCGCAATCATCATTCCACGACATCACACTATGGAACACAACTCATTTGATTAGCTTCAAAACTAGAAGACAGTGAGTGGAAGGGGAATTGATAGAATTGAGAATGACAAAATATGTGGGAGTAAAAAACTTGTCACTCATTAAGAGATGCACACACAGCTGAACTGAGATATATTGCAGAATATTCCTTTCAAATGGATGCGAATTAACGGACTGCTTGTTGCTTAAAAATGCAGCCTTAACTAAGGGTGGTTGCAGACACGTTCTTACTGTCCCAGAATGAAGCTTTTGTTCACTGTCGTAATGAGATGAAACTTGTAAAAAGAGATGGTTCAAAAAGACTTAACTCGACAAGTCAATCCGATAAAATACTTATCTGAAAGTCTGCAAAAATAAATATTTAATAGTACTGTTCGTAGCGGACTGATGTCTCATTAAGCCATGACTACTTCATTTTACCATGTATCACACTTTCTGTTCTTAACGAAGTGTCCACGCAGAAAACCAAATGTTATAGGTGGGTAAAGACCATAAAAGAGTAACAAGTATTTTTAATTTGCTTTGATCAAAGCATAAGTGCATGACATAAGAAGCACGTGTGCGCGATATTTGCTGATAAAATGAACGACTTCTTGCGGTTAGATCAAGGCGGAAAATGCATATTTTTATCCACTAAACAATTCATATCAGAAAGCAGTTAAATAATAAAAGCTCGTTAATCACCACTTTTATAGATCGAAAAGAGAAAGGCGTGGTGTTCTACACTAATCAATTTTTACAATGAGCAGGCTTCGCGTGAAAATACAGCAACTGTTACAGGCAAACAGTTACCTAATCTTCCTTACTCGCAAATCCGCTTTGCTTAGTAAAAGGGAACAGATTCAGTTGTGGAAATAGTTTGCCTCTTAATATCAAAGTTATCAGGCTTTCTGTATGTGTACACGTGAACCACAAGTTAAAAAATATCGGACTGAACGTTACGTGACAACACAGGACAAGACCGATGTATGTATGAAGACAAGATTAGAGGATATGGGCAGAAACATAGAAACCGATACGTAAAAATAAAACAAGAAAACTAACATCCTTTTCCCGCAGCTGCTGAACAAATACTTCCTTAGTGTGATCCAGCATAAGCTGTGAAGACTCCAACTGGACCAAAAGATCTTCATTTTTTGATCGAAGGCAGGTTATCTGCAGATACTATATGCACATTCTAGCTGCTTACCTCCGTCTTTTGGGTTTCAATAATAGATTCCAATTCACTTATGCGTGAACGTGCAACAGATAACTCATTCGCAGGATCTACCAGTGTAACCATGAATGAAGAAAGAACATACCGTTTATTTCACGGGTCCCTTCTGCCAGCAGATCTTTTGTGATATTAGTTATTTGACCTTTAATAGAAGATAAACCCCCGAGCCAATCCATTTGGTGTGCTGAAACCCGTCGACCAGCGCGGTAGAATTCTTCAATACCCAATGGATTTTAGATTTCAAATGATTTCAGATTTATTGGTTGAAAATAGGAGGCTTGGAGCATGTGTTAATCCTTTTCTAGTAAATGTATGTGCCTGATTAAACCCTTGTTGAATTAATCATTCGGGGTTGCAGACACCACTTCTCCGCGGAGTCGGTTCCAAAAGTTTAATGACTCGGCGTGCGAACCAGTACTCCACAGCAATATGATTTATCACTGGCTTTTGAATTCTCCTGCTATGTCCTCTAAGGTGGGAAGGAAAAGAGAGAATAAGTCAGGTCTGTAGCCATTGTTTAAAATTTGAAACATTGTGATTAAATCTCCTCTCTGCCTACGGCATAATAGGGAGAAGAGATTTTACCGGCCTAGTCTTTCCTCGTATGATAAGTTAATCACGCCGAGAACCATACCTTTTTCCTTCCTCTGAACCCTCTCTAGAATGTGTGAGTCCCCTTTGAGACAAGGACTGGTTGTCTGGATACAATTTTCCAGTCTTGACCACACCAGAGATGTATATAAGGAGGTGAACATATCTCTGACGATTCTAGCAAAGGCTCTGCGAATTGCCCATAATGACCAGCAACTACGTGTAGCCACCACGCGGCAGCGTGCTGTAGTTTTTAAATCGTGGCTAACTATGACACCTGAATCCAAATGAGTCTGAACTTGATGGGAAAGTTATTCCCTCTAGATCGTATGAGCTGATGCTTGCTTTTCCGATGTGCATGGTTGCACACTCTGCTACATTGGTCGAGAGCATCCATCCTCTGGACCACTCCGACGATTTTTGGGGTCCTTTTGCAATGTGAGCGTATCGCTTTCGCCCTTCAGCTCTCTCCAAATTGCTAAGTCATCTGCACATGGGACCACGGAGGAAACGGTGAGCATAGATGGTGTGGCACCTGGCAACTCCAGTTTAATGTCGACAAATGTGGCTGGTTTATGTGCGTCCTTTATTTGATTACTGTTCATTCATGTATTGTAGTATACGCATAGAAGACAAATTGAAAGTCGAGGGAGTGCAGAGGTACTTCACGTCAAAATTATTCGAAACCGAAAATGCTGCGAACTACTCCTATGACTAGAAACACTATGGCTAAGACGCCTGAGACTAAACTTAGCACTTTACTACAATCTTCTAAACCACTTAGTTTTTACCTCTATTAATGGCATTCGACTTTCAGATGACAATGACTACAAACTAAGACACACTAAGGGTACAGTAGCTATCGAACAATGTAAAACAGCTACCAGGCAAAAGTCTTACTTGATTAGGTATGCACAGATATGGAATAAACTACCAATGCAAATGCGTCAAGCAAGTACATTGGCCTCCTTCAAAAAAGTGCTTAACGACAAACTACAAGAGTTTGCAAACGATAGTAGTTCTAGTTCCTATCTGAGAGCCTCCGAAATTATAGGTCCATTTAATGTATAAGCTCAAATACTACACCTGTTGTTTTTGCCTATATTTATAATTTTAGATAAAACATTAACGATTAAGATACTTACCCTCGAACAGACAAAAAATTTCGTTTGTAAAACTTCTACCCAACACAATAAGTGGAATAAAATGGGCATAAACTGACAACATGAAAAAGGTATAACTCACCACAACATCACATGAACAGATGTACGCTCGTCGAGCATCATATATGCCTCACCAACTACAACCCATCTTTCCTAAGATAATGTGGGGAACTTATATCCATAATGTTGCTGAGCAGTCAATATCCACAACTGCTGTCGGAACAACTGAAATTCAAAAACCTTCCTCACGAGAAGAAAATACCCACAAGCAGTAGAAATCCATTAATTAATGCGTCCAAAGCTTATGTATTTTACTCCTAACAATGACATTGTAGATCAAATGAGATAAACATATCACTGATTTCAAAATAACACATCAATGAACTATAATTCAAGGATTCTGTACACAACAAAGTAACGTATGAAAATTGACTTCAAGCTTTATTTTTTTCCCAGGCACTTATAACCCATCCACCAAAGACCTGGTTTTTTTGTCAATGCGAAGACAATACTTCTGTATTTCCTGATGTGTTGCACTCACTGAAAATCTTGCAGATTTTTCCAACTGTGCACAGAAATGATTGTACATAAGTGAAAAGGATGTTTTATACTGTTGGGATTAACATTTATCAATTGTATGTATAATCTCCAGCGTACATGTAGAACATATCTTCCTACCACCTGTAAATTGTGACTGAATAATATGGTTCTATTTCTGTAACAATCTGATGATGCCTGTAAACTGGTGTCCCTCATGTGCTGAACTATGAGAATAAATTTATTTATTTATAACTCATTCATATACAAAATAAATAGGAGCTGTCCGAGCACTGTGTCTTTTGCCACTCCGCTACGCACTGTTTTCCAAGAGGATCCTAACCCTGTGCCTCCTATCTGTGAGGAATTCCTCAATCCAGTTTAGTGAGCTGCTTTTGATATCAAGACTTTCCAACTTCATGAGTAGTCTTTTGTGAGGAATATTATCGAAAGTTTCGCTGAAGTCTATGAGCACGACACCAACGGGTCTTCTGTTGTCCATTGATTTGACCCAGCTCTCTCTTGAAGTGAGAGGACTTGACAGGCATGAGAGATTTCCTCGGAAGCCATGCTGTGATCTGGACAACAAGTTGTTGTTTTCCAGTCATGCCATGATATTTTCATTGGTGATTCTTTTCAGTATCTCCATTGAAGTGTTGGTAAAACCAATAGGCCTGTAGCGGTAATTGATTCCCTAAAATTATTGACCACACCAATCATCACTGAAAATTGGTTGCTAACCCTCATTGTTCAAGTCGACTTGTTTAGCTCAAGCCTTCAGGTCAAGCATCCACGCCATTTTGGTACTCCGTCGTGTCACGTTCGTGCACGATCACTAGCTAGTTAAGCAATCATCTCGGTCTACGATTTGGTCTTGAAATATATCTCGTAATTTGGACGATCAATCGTGTGTTTTGCTTTGCCTTTGTTCTACGCGGAACGAATACTATAGAAGTTATTGGTATTAGATCTTGCGTTAGTATGCTCTATTCAATCCGCAAACGTCAATACCGTCAGCCTCTCAACTGGTAAACCCAACCGCGAACTCCATCTTCAGTAAATACGCAGACAAATTCGGTGAGTTCGTTCCATTTTGTACTTGTTCTTATACTATTTTCAAACTATATACATTTCGTCATGAGTGATCATAGTCCCAAGGTCATTCGTATCCGTTCAACTCCTAAATCCATTCAGCTCGTACCATACTGGCCAGATAATGCTGAAACGTGGTTTCAGCTAGCTGAAGCAGATTTTTGTGAGCATGGATAACCGATCAACGTTCACAGTTACTTGCACTTATTCACGCCCTACCGCGGGAATTCAGCAAGTACGTAACATCACAGATGTTGAGTCCCGAGGTAAGTAACTCGTACGAGTTGCTCAAAGCATCCCTCCTCAGGAGAAACGTTCTCACGGATCGGCGGCGTCTGGACGAATTATTTCGTAGCATCGAGTTAGGGGATCACTCAGCCGTGAGCATGCTCAGAAGAATGAGAAGTTATTCGCCAAAGCCAGCTTGATGAAGGACTTTTCAGAGAACTCTTCTTATCCAAACCACCACATTCATTACAGACTGTGCTAGTGACACTTCGGAGTGTCATCATAAATGACTTGGCTGTTTCTGTAGATAAAATTCCAGGAATAACTAAACACCCAGCAACTGAAATATGCTCAATCGCCAAAAAGACTTCTATTAAGGATACTGCAGTGATAGAGTTATGCAACTCCATCCAGCAGATGCTTAGGTCAAACATGCTTTGCTGTTCCTCCCACAGTCGTCTGGACTCCCCTCAACGGCGCAGCTCACGCGGTCGATCTTAATCCAAGCCAGGTCCCCTAAAAATCTCTGAGTGGTCTCCGTATCACAACGCCTATGGCCAGGAAGCAAAGTGTTGCCGAAAACCTTGTAAATTTAGGAATGTCCCAAAGTCTGTGGGAAACTATCCCGCTGGCACGCGTTAACGGCAACCGTCACCGGTAGAACTAGCCACCTACTTTAAATCCATGATGTGATCAGCTAGACCCGTTATACATTCGACACAGGCGCCGAAGTCAGCGTCCTTGCTGCTACAGTGGCACATCGACAGAAGGAAACTACCTTCAACTTACAGGCTGCAAATGGAAAACCAATTGCAACCTTTGGTAGGAAATAGGTCTATCTGAACGTAGGTTTACGCAAACCTATTCAGCAGATTTTCCTTCTCGCTGACGCCACAATGCCCTTCATTGGCACGGACCTACTTAATCACCATGATTTACTCGTATTACATTATTTATTATTATCGTTCCCTTGGGTTATTAGTGGAACATAGAGCTTCAACTGCACGTCTCCACTTGCCTCTGTCTTCTGCTGTACTTTTCACCTGCATCCATGTTAGTCAATACTGTTTCAACTCCTCTTCACACGATCTCCTCCATGTCACCCTTGCACTGACGACCCACTCGCTCCTTCCCTTTCGGCCTGGTTCCACTCGAGGGCTTGACGCGCGATGTCACCCAGCGGTCTCCTCAGCGAGTGACCGATCCATCTCCGCTTTCTCCTGCATATTTGTTGGGCGATTGATTCTTGCTTTGTCTGTTCCCATAATCCCTTGTTGGTGATTCTTTCCGGCCATCTGATCTTCAGTATAGAGCGAAGACAGTTGTTAATAAAGGTCTACAACAGGCTGTTGGAAATATTCTTTGTGACCCGCCCGCCAAGTTTCTGATCCGTATAGAAGAACTGACTGACTTGACATGTTTGTATTGAAAATCCAACTGAATTTTGTTGGTGGTGCTGAGTGAAGAAGATTTCCAGATTGATTTCAGGTTGATGAATGTGTTTCTCGCCTTCCCGATTCTACCTCGATGTGACATCCTCGTCCGTTCCTCCTGTAGTTGAGACAGTGCTCCCTAGATAAGTGAATGAAGTTACTTCTTTCAAATCCATCCTGTTGATAGTGATTGACGCTGGATGTTGCTACCGTTGTTGTCGTTGTTAGTTGGTTATTTTCATCACCTCCGTCTTGTCTATGTTCACTTGGAGTCCTGTCTTTGCTGCTTCTTCGACCAGTTTGTCAGTTTTCGCTTGTAAGTCTTAGATTGTGTGTGA